ATAACAAAACATAACATACATAACGTAACATAACATAACATAACATAACATAACATAACATAACATAACATAACATAACATAACATAACATAACATAACATAACATAACATAACATAACATAACATAACATAACATAACATAACTAACATAACATAACATAACATAACATAACATAACATAACATAACATAACATAACATAACATAACATAACATAACATAACATAACATAACATAACATAACATAAAATGGAATCAAGGTGCAAGAAATGTATTCTCAATGATAAGTACGATTTTTTTCAGAATAATTTTAAACCGAAGAGGATCCGCCTAGGGTCAAGATGTTTTCTTTACGACCAGTGGCCATGGGCATAATGACAGTGGCACTTCTTGTCCTGGCCACTTCAATTAGCACGGACGAATGGTACAGTGTCACAACAGTAGCAAAGCGAAAGTTCAATGGTCTCTGGAATCATTGCGTTCAGATGAGTGGGCGAGATACAAGTTGCAATTTTCTACGCGGCTGGGAGCCTATTTCAGATGGTATGTGAGGTATCTCTAAATGCTTTTCTAAGATGTTTGTTGGTATTCGATAGTAGCTTATTGGTCATATAAAACATGCGTTCTTATTATCTACTAGAATTTCTTTAAACAATTACCTTTCATTTTCTACAGAACCTAAAATAGCTAAAATTAGTTTAAACAAAGTAATTATTATACGTAGTCGTGACATTGACGAATGAATGGTCCTCAAAAGGCTTTGAGAAAACTTTTCTTCTTAGGATAAAACGTCTGATTATCGGTTGAATGTTCTTAAATTTTGTAGCATCAAAAACCATCAAATAATAAATACCTGATGTTGTGCATGTAAGGCTGGTATAGGTTGAAAGACAATTAAATAGCTGAAATCTGTCTAGTATTACTTTGTGGAAGTTGAGCAAAGAGTTTCGTTAGACTAAACGATCCTTTGTTTCTCTAAGTATCTACAAAGCTAAGCAAAAAAATAGAAAATGAAAAGGATGTAGCATGGAGAGCCGATTAAGACTAAAATAAGGGCATACTTCTTTAAAAATGGGGCTTTATTATTCGCAAAACTTTTGCATTTGCTATACAAAAAAAACATAGAATGCAAGAAAGAGTTGCGTATCACGTTGCAAAGAAAGTACTTATTTCTAGATTCATCCAAATTGATATTGACCAAGCTGTTATATGGTGTTTTATATCGAATAAACAGAGTTGTCCCAGCTTTGGTGTTTGCAACAGGACGGCACTAAGTTAAAATTCCCAGGCTCATTTTTATTCCAAAGCATCTGGACTAATTTCAATTCATCATTAACATTTAGATTTAATCTAAAAATTTCCAATTGACAGATACGATGACGGCAATTCGAGGATTTTTTGCACTGGCAATTCTGTTCCAACTTGGTGCAATAATATATCCACCATTTTACAAGCAGATGGCGAGTGGTATTGTGAAGCTAGAGTTTATGGCGATTCTTTGTTTGATTGCGAGTGAGTTTCACATTCCATTCTATTTTGATTTTCTTCAGCAAAAGATAATATTATATTTATTAAATGGACAATTGATTGAGTTTTCGGAAAACGTAGCTTAATAATGAAATTAACAACCAGTACGACGACGAAGGAAAAAGACATCAATTGGAAATTAAATTAAACGTTTCGACTCTGATTAGAGTCACTTCCAGTACTCTACTGAAGAGTACGCTAGAGTCATCTACTGAAGATCACTCTAGCCAGAGTCGAAACGTTTGATTTAATTTAATGGACTTGTCGTAATGGAATTGACTAAATCGGAAGTGTCTTAATGTTTTAATGGATTTGTCTTAGTTGGAATTGTCCACGATGTAACAAGAAGTTGACGAACACATGATGTCTTTTTTCTTCGTCGTCGTACTGGCTATTAATGAAATGGACAATGCCATTGAGATCAGAATGTCCTCAGCATATTGTTTCCTTTGAAAGAAGGGGGAGTGGGACGGGGGGTGGGGGGGGGTGAGTCAACAGTTCAGATGATCTTTTTACAAAACATTTATAATGACAATATAGTTTAGATGAGCTTTTGCTTTGTTGAATAACTTTTTCTTTTACAATGTACCACTTTTTAAAAGTACTCTTGACAGCAATAATTTTTGAAAAGGAGAGAAATGAAATTTTGAGAAATTTATATCTTTTCAAATAGCTTCGCTGGGGTAAAAGTGCAAATGGCAACTACAGAGTAATATCTTCATAAAGTACTTGTTTATAATCTATGTTTGGATATAATGTTCTTTGTTTTTTTCAGTCGAAACAAATTTCCTCCATTAGAACCTACTTGATATGTTTGCTTTGTCCACTATGTCACTTTGTCAAGGTGCCAACCATTCAGGACTCTGTCACTAAAGTATTCTGTTAACATACGTGGCTCCAATAGTTTTGCCCATTATCTTCATAAATTGTTCCATTGTTTGTAACTCTTCTTTTTAGTCTAGAGGGCTAAAATACGCTATAGCGGGATTATACTGTAATCTTATCGTCGCCAAGGCACAAAACTTGAAAGAACTGCTTTGAATTCTGTAAAAATAGGCCCAACAATTCAGTTGTTGTACTTAATGAAACGGAAATGAAAAGTTAACTTTGAAGTTGTGTGAATTTCAATGCAACGAATCGCTACCTGTTTATAAAAGTGGTTCTAATTCATTCATAAACTGGATGGCTTTATTCGTTTGACCTATTCAACAATTTATCGGATCCATTTCTAAAAATTTTCTTATCATCACTAATATCTAAAAAGGCATAAACCTAATCATATATTCATAAAGATTGCTGTCTAATTACTTTTTCAAGTAAAGTAGAAGCCAGTGGTTAGCCGCAATGAGAAAAGCCATGTGGATAACTGAAAAAATGCACTTTTACTCAACTTAACAATTTTCCTTCAGCTTTTAATACAATCAAAGGTAAATGCAAGAAATTCTATTCAGTTTAATAACAATAATATTGTTGTTGACCTCTCTTTGACCCAGAGGCATATTTCGGTATTGAGAAGACAACCTTTATCCTAACAAAAGAAATTTTAAAAGCCCTAAAAAATCTATCAAAATACACAAGGAATTAAGTTACTATTTTCATCGTTTTCTAGAACTGAGATACATATATAACAATGCAAGTAATCATACGATTTTACTGGATATTCTATAGAATTTTTGATACAAGAATGAAAACAGTATCCTATAAAACATAGCTTGAAAAGTGAAAAGGAATGCTAGTTCTGGTATCTTTTACAAACCTAAAATGATTAATATCACAATTAATACCAAAAGTAAAGCATTCTGAAAAGAAATACCGATGCTGCAGAAGATGCTGATTGCTTGAAATGCATTAAGTTGCATTGATGTGAGATCAGTTAACAGCTTTCTTCACTTACGGATCTTTACAATTGTCAAGCAATTATAATTCAAGTGTAGGTATACGTTCTTCTTTTAAAAACTCTATAGCTTTATTTTAACTTTCAAAGATGAAGGAAATATTCTTGTTTATTATTTTTCTTTCTAAGCATGTTTTGCTTTCTTGGGAATGATAATAATAACTCACGAAGTGATACACCATAACGAAGGTCCCACGTTTGGTTGGTCGTATTACCTTGGCTGGGCTGGCACTGGGGTATCGGCAGTTGGGGCAGCACTTGGAGCAATATCAACGCGAGACGATGTTTACATGGATCAAGGGATGTAACCTTCACGACAAAATTGCAATGTAACTGGACGGATGTAACCGGACGGAAAGCCTTGATATCAGTCATGGAGGTACATAGTGTCCTTGCGTGAGAACAGCAATCTTGTAGTTACAGAATTAAATTATCGGAGAAAGAAAAAGCTTGACGTACTGCGTAATAAGAGTCCTGGAAAGAACTGTAATATAAGATAAAATAGAGCTTTGTGACGACACAAGGTCTGACTAGTTAAGCAATACTTATTGTAGTTCGGGAAATGGAAGACCTACTTAAATTATCCTGTGGCAAGATAGTGTAGCAAAATACTTAGCATGGCAGATCGTCTGCATCAATACAAAATCTGTCACTAGCGACATATAGACTTATATTTTTATCGCAGGTAAATTTAATAGGAAATGGCAAAGTGTGAAACTTTATATAATTGTTCTCCAAGAAAATTATCTTCTGCTCATTGTTCACCACACACAAAGACCTTTTATTAAAAACATTTCTTTATCTAAGCTTAGCAAATAAGTTTTACATGCAAGCTTTACATAATCCAAGAAAGTAATTTGCGTTGTAGATAAAAGCATTTAAAATCTTTAAAGCTGTACTTGTAAAAGAGTAATTATTTTAAATCATTCGCGTAGAATCTTTTAGATTATAAATGCTACATAGAAACATAGGAAGCATTTGAAAAGATGGGTTCGCTGGGAGGACATGTAGACAAACAACGAAACCTCCGTGAGCTGAAAATAACAATTTACCTTTTAAACAAGTTTTACATCTAATTCATTTTAAAACTTTATTTTACAGTATACTGGATTATCGTCGTCATTTTGCTTGATAAATCACTTTCAATTTTACATCATTGGTTGTAAGATTCACGCAATCTGGCGAGCAGCCCAGCCTGCATATTTTACTTCTGACAAACTCTGCCTTTGTTTAATAAAAGTGAAAAATTGCATACAGAAACAGCAAAAATTGATTAAAATTGTTTATGATATCATTGGTTAGATATCTATTCGTGCTTGGTTAGGTAATAATGACAGCAAATGATGGTGGATGAGAGGAGTTTAATTACAGGTGTACTATGAGATGCTTAGCTACCTTTGTTGATACAAGTAGGTTACCAGTTTTTTGTTATTGGTTATATGATAAGTTCGCAGTATCTCTGCTTATTCCATCATAACATTGTTTCAATTGCCATTATGGCCTATCTGCTTCTTGGAGCGAGCATAGATAGCATTGCACAGGTAGCCTGAACAATATATAAGTTCTGGTAAGATAAAAGTTTTTGGACAAGATATTTTACAAAGTGCTACCTACAAAAATTAAAGGAAAGGCAATTTCTATCTTTAACAGACTTTCGCACAATGAAAATCATCCGTGCAAATGCAAAATATGATGACTGGATAAGTAATAGTATTGTTTTATAACGTTGTTTTGAAGACTGAGTATCAAATACAAGGAACGAACAAAATGAATTAACGCGCCGTGAAAGCCTCTAGCTTGGCTAATAATTGTCTAAACAATAATTAAGAAAAAGACAATGAAAGTCTGGATTAAATCAAAACATTACCCAATGTTATTGCAAGGTTAAAGAAAATTTAAAAAATATCAATGATGCAGTTTTGTCTGGATAATAATTACTCCATTGAAGCTGGCTGCTATAAAATAAAGATCTTGAAAATAGTATAGTTAATGACAAGAAAATCTGCCAAAAATCAATGCCTGGAAGATCTTACAGAAAATTCTATCGTATGCGTTGTGCGTAGAAAGCGGGTTGGGTTAGGATTAGGGTTAGGGTTAGGGTTAGGGCTATTGAAAATCGAGTGTCTTGAGCAAAATGAGAGAAATGGTATCAATTGTAATTACAAGAAAGTCAACAGGCTAGGTTTGATGATAATGGAGAAGTTCATTATAAACAAGAATCTCAGTGGACACACACAGAAAAAAATCAGGTTCTACACTTTATTACTAACAACTTGTGCACACAGACACAGCGGAGCACGGGGGCTTGAAGATACAGCCCCCTTTTTTTGTTAAAGACATAAATAATAAAGAAATGCACCACCAGCCTCTTTTTATTTGGCTTTTACCCCCCCCCCCCATGAATGCTCCATGGTGTCAGGTGCAAATAATAGGAAGATGTTGAAGAACATGTGGTTTAAACATAAACAATTGGAGACGGAGGCAAAAGCGGAGGCGGAAGATTCAAATGCATCTGATCAATTGCCTTCACAAGACTGCATCGGGCAATAAGCTATGCGCTAAATTTCTGCTAAGAACCGCTCAAGATTTTATCAATGATTCTTTATATGTTACGATTATGTAGGATAACTAAGAGATAAAGGAAAATTGTGAGCAGAAAAACACGATGTGGAAATGTATACACAGAAAGAGTATCACAAGACAATTTGTTATTTAACAAATCAGGATTCTGATTGTAAAAACACGCTCGGAAGAAGAGACAGAAGAAAAGACAGTGGGGAAGAAACACGCTCTAATTGTAGTCATAGAATTAAATCAATTTGTATCATTTGAATTGTATGTAAAGACTCTGACTCCGTCGTCCAACAACGCTGCTTCCGATAATCGAAGATTATCAGGCATGGGGTAAAATTGGAACATTATAGCTACTTTCTGAGAGTTACCTTTGCCCTATACTCCTTGGTGGAAAAGTTATATAAAAAAGTTATGAAAATGTGAACTGAATTTGACATCGACGGCGGGAAAAATCAAATTAAGAGAATGTGAAAGGTACAAGCTTAATTGAAATAGGTTCAACACTTGGCCTTCTGGCATTTTTGTCCACTTCTCTTTTATTGACATCTAATGGCTAATAAAATACAGCAAAATATCGAGTACATGTTTTGTCGAGGATCAGAATTTTCAAGCTAGCCATATTTTGCGCAACTGCTTTGAGCAAAAGTTATTTGTGAACAAAATTTGAATGCCTTGCAAAATTTGAATGCTCAAATTTGTGAACAAAATTTGAATGCCATGTTTAGCTTTGAATAAAAGATGAATTCTAAAAAATGGCAAGCACCTGCATCATATCAAAACTTGAATAACCTAATGAATATTTTGTCAACATTTTGAGATCCTTTGATTCAACAACCTGTTGAAGGCAGTTTCTGCGGTCGTAAAATTTCCTTGCTTGCACATGCCTTATTCGTAATTGTTTGTAATTATGGAAAATCTTACATTTTTTCTTATACTTTCACAGAGGCACCCAATTGAACCCCATGATTCCTGAATTCCCGCTACGTTTTCAACCCGATTCCCGACCATCGATTCCCGAACGGTGTTATAAATTCCAGAATCCCACTCACAAAAATTTGCCAATTCCCGAATCCTAAATAAGACGATTCCAGATTTATTATACACATATTGGGTACTATTCATGATGTCACAGTCAAAAATTTGTGATTATAAACTGTTAGTCAAGCCCAAGTGCACTGATGTCATGCAGCTAAAGCTGTTTCTGCCTGCAAATGAAGTAGCATTTCCCATTTTCAACTCGATATTTTGTAGGATACTTGACACGTTGTCAAAGTGTTATTCAAATCGCATCTAAAGGACTTAAATTTTTACCAGCATTTAGCAACCCTAGTTTCTGGTTGAAACTTTGAATCTAGCTTAAAACTGTAATCTCACTTCTTCAAAGTAAACTTTAACTAGTAAATTAACAACAATCACGAGAACTGAATGGCATCAACGATGTGAAGAAAGCAGAAGACCTTTGGCTTCAAAGCCTGAACAAAGAAAGAAACAATGTTGAGCTTTTATCGGCAATTGCAAACCTAGACACGATTTTCCCTCTTTAAAACTTTTTTTATGCTTTCAGGGGGGGGGGGAATATTTTTTCGAGAAGGGGGAGGGGGTTCGAGATTGGGCGATTTCAAAAATATTCGTCTGGGGATAAAATTTAAAAAATATTCGTCAAACAAATGAAACTCAGCTAGTTTGTCATAAGAAATTAACTGTTTGCAAGTCCAACAGCGAAACTTCAGCTTGGAGTTGGCCTCATTGTTTTAGGAAAGTTTCAGCTATGACGATGGATACAAGACAAGGAAGTGTTTCAAATGTTTGACTACAAAAGCTCAAACAAGAGATATGTATCTTACGTATGAGAAAAGCGTTACAGCAAAAGTGCCATGTTTCATTTAGCAATCAAGCAAGTATTATGAATGAAGCTTTTTTGCAATTTTATCAGTTTCTGCTTTTGCAACATAATTGGCTTTAATTGTTTGCGAAGTCTTGTCTCTCATTTAGTATTACGTTTGTCAGTTTCCTTCGAATCTTTCCTACTACTTTTTGAATGCTATTAGTTTCTGAATGTTTAAGACTTTATTCTGGCTTTCTTCTAGATATGTGCGAACGACTTTTTGAATATTTCATAAACATTTCATGAATACTGTTGAAATCAACGTGCTTTTTAAGAAGTAAATGTCCCTTATTATTTGATATTAGTTTTGCTACCATGCTTGCAAAATTTACTTGGCACACCCAAGAAGTGTCGATAAATTCTCTATAGAATTCCAATTAACCCCGAAAGAAACAGCTGAATGGCCCCTTTTTACCAAAAAACCTATAGATCTCAGCCTTTGTAGTTTCTTGTGTGTACTTTAATTGAGAATATTCCAATATTTTTTTAAAGGTGATGGGAAACAGCCTATGTTATAGACAAAAATTCTGCAGTGTTCCAAGAATTTTGGTAGGCAATGTAGTACTAGAAACGAGGCACCATTCATTATTATGTTCAGGGCTTTACACCCTCAAATAAACTTAGCTCTGTTACGATCTCGTTCTTGCGCTAAATTATTAAACACAAGACAGAAGTGTCATTCTTTTGAACCTTCGTTTAGGATATTCCGGCAAAACTACAAAAATTCAACCGGATTCTAAGGAAGTGATGTTTTAAAGGTGGTTCAGAAATCAGCCAAATGAGATGTTGCTAATCTTCCCTCTGAAGCAGGAAAAGCCTGAGCGGCTTAGAATTCAGAAAAATATTGGTAAAACAAAAAAATATTCTTGTCAAAACATGCTTTGTCCTAAAATTACGAACAAGCCTTCAACGAAAACCTGCAGGTGCTATTACAACGTAAATTTAAGAGAGCTATAAAAAGATTACTAATGTTTATATTAGACATAATTTTCATAGTCTGAAGATGAAATTGATTTAGATTATAAAACTGTCTTTGTTTTGATTGGGATGATATGTAAAGCCTTGCTGCAATTAGGCTTGCAACCAGCTCAGCGGCGTTGTATTAGTTAAACAGGTATTGTGAGCTCGTAGGATTTCATTAATGACTGCTTGCCATTTGTTAGTGCTTGAAGTACTCGCCAGGTAATACATAGATAACACGTTAAGCAGGTTAGAAGAGATGCAAGTTAATATCAATGGAATTTCTTCAAAGGTTTTTTCTTTAACTGGAATGCTTATCATGCTACTGGCCGCTGTGACAGATCACTGGCGAAAGAAAGATATAAAAGGGAGGGCCGTCCACGAAAGTGTCTGGGATGACTGCGCAATTTTGGAAACAGGACAGACATGTTACTTGACCAAGAAAGAACAAGGTTTGAATTGTTGTTATTGGCAATCAGTTACATGATGACTGCGTTAAGCTTGAAACTGGGGATGAGAACCGTCTATTTTGTTATACCAAAGCGTGTACAAGCCTCTCTATCTGGTAACAAGCACCATGCAATACTGAAGTCACTATTAGGCTTCATTACTTAAAATAATAATTTTGATTATGATATTCGTAGCAGTATTAATTAAAGGTACATATTAAAGCCACTTTGTCCCGTCGGTCAACCGCTCAGAGTTAACAATAGGCTTGCAGCTCGTTTATGGTCGAAAAAACATTGAGAATTAGCAAATTGGATACGTAACAATAGGTCTATTGTATAGTACAGCCAATGGGAAATTTAAAGGGCCAGAAAAATTCATCTGGACATATTGCCTTTATACAATTCTTTGATGATGTCCTCAAGAAATTACAATTTAAAATTTCAGAAACTTTCCAAGGCAGAAAATGAATTTTAGAAAATGAACTATCAAAATGAACTTAATTTCTTTGACACCAAATTTCAAACAAATAGAGAAAAACATTCTGAAGTAACTTTTTTTAGGATAAGCCATAGTTTAGCATGATAGACATTACATTAAGTGGTGTAATGCTATCTAAAAAAGAAGGGGGAGGGAGGGGGGGTCATGCACAAAATTTTGGAAAAAATTTAGACCAAAAAATAAAAGCTGGCTATTTTCTGACTTTAACAATCGGGGCTCAGCCCAATAGAGCCCTCTAACACAATATCTTTGCTATCCTCAACTGATGTCTTATAAATAGAAATATAAATTTAGAATGAGAAAATGAACGAGAGGAGGGGCAAAGTCAGGGTGAGAACGCAAGTCCACGTTTCAATTGATGAAAGGCTCTTTACTTTATTAGGTGGTCATTACCAGGGGCGCCAAGAAAGGAAAAAAGGGTTGAATGCTGCAGTTGAAATAATATTACTAGACAGCAGCAAGGATAGAAGGGGGTCAGAGGTGGCGAAAAACACCCCAGTAAAGCTAAACTGTTATTTTGTCGGAAAATGTCTGATCTTGTCGGAAATATAACATGGTTGTCTTTTTTATCCAAGTGTTACATTTTGAGAGGTAAGGTTTTAAAGGTGGCTTATACCGAATTATGCCGTTGTTCTGTGTCAAATTTGCAATCTCTTTTAATTATGTATGGTATCTAAAATGCCTTGTTCAGAGGAGAAGACCATAAAAATCTTCAAGAAGTATGATTCATGACACCAGACTTTCAAAAAAAGAATGCGTTCATCTTCTGTTTTGTTTCAGTGCCAATGTCATTATGCTTTGCTTAAATTTTTGAAAAAGTGTTTATTAGATTTTACTTGGAAAAATTTAATTTCGAGCCCCTCTTATGAACTATCCTATCTACGCCACTAGTATTAAGGCCTAGATCCTATAGTGCTTGTGAAAACATTTGTAGGATAGCGCATTTAAAATTTTATCTATTACATAGAGGGGTGCCGTCTTAAAAAATTATGAGGAGGCGCAGTATTGTAGGCAACTTCCAGAAAGCCACATCCATTGCCTTTGTGTTAGAGAATCTATGTGATGTATGTGAAATCATTCAAGCTATTCACTGACTCAGAAAGACTAATAGAAAATTGCTCATTTACGGAATATTTATGGGATAACAAAGGGTCGCCACACAGAATACTTCCAACCAATAATGTGATCGCTCGCAAAGAGGGCCTGAGATCCCAAGGAATCTCTCTGGCTTTGAACAAAGGGAGTTGAAACCCCCCAGACCCCATCAACATTATCCCTGAATATATTCCTAGTGTATGTTTAGCGAGTATCGAGTGTAAATCTAGTAAAAGGCTAGTGTATATCTTTGTTTCCTTCTTATTCTAAAGGTGATACAATATCTACAATACCGGACAAAAATAGTTGAGACTTTTCAAGGAAAGCTTATATTTTCACTTTCCTTTTAAAAACAACTTCCCCTCTCCCCCAGTTCAATGTTGAATGCATTATTTTGGATGATAGAAAAGATGATAGAGCTACAAATCAAGCATTGAATCGGGGGAAAAGGGGGGATTCAAAATCACAGGGGCGACATAAAGTAGAAAATTGCTGAAATTGCATTTGTCGCAACAATTTTGTCCGGGATTGTAGCAAAAACTTGAGCTAATTAAAGTAATACAGATTAAAAGTTAAACATAACCAAAATGGAAAATTTATTGCTTGCAAGAGTCACGGGTATAATTGAACGACGAACATTATGAAGTTGTTTTTTGGATATTTATTTAATTGGAGATTATTTTAATTCATTTGGAGATTGAATTCCAAATTTGGCTACTTCTAGTACACACCCATTGTATATCTGGTACCTACTTCAAGTATTGATCTGGTATTTACAGTATATACGACTGGTGAGTATTTATATCTGGACCTGTCTTGAGTTTTGACTTTTGAGAGCGTTTTTTATTTTTAGTTTTTATCGTAGATCTCTTGAGTGGGGTACAAGCACTTGTTCTTCTCTCGATGGTGTTCGAATTCAGCAATCTTCTCATAAGTGGCTTCATCTACTGCCTCAAGACAGCGCTCAAACCGTTCCTAATTACCATCGAAACTTGTGCAGGTAATGTAATACGCAGCAATAAAACTCGAAATTTATCAACAAACAAATTGCAGTGCAAAACATACCTGTCTCTTGCATGAGCAGCTTGCAATAGATGCGTTTTGCTTATAAGAATTTGCATCTCATGAATAAAAAAAGCCTGCTCTTCTAAGAGCAAACAAAATCATAGATGCCTTGTATTGTTTGTTTGAATATTATCTAGCTTGGTTTCAAACGTGGGTTGGATTATTACGTAACTACATAAATGACATTGGCTTCAGCCATTAGAATTTATTCTATCAGTAGTTGATTGCAATATGATACACCGCTGTAGGTCTTGCACAAACGTTTTAGTCAGGTTATTACCGGTGGCATAGTCTGACTTTCCAAATGGGGTAAGGAGGGAGGAGGGAGGGGGGCGGGTGGTGAAGGGTCATCAGAGACAAAGACGAAGAAATAGTTTAGGTGCTAATAGCACCGTGCTATTCCTGATAGATAAAGCGACGAACTAAGGAACTTGTGGACCAGCTGAAGATCTACCGGATGTCACAGCCCCTACACCCCCTTATACGCCTCTGGTTATTAAAGACAGATGATCAATAACCATAATCAAGAATCAAGAAATAATCATGATACTTAAGAATGATATATCATATGAATGTATACGGATGACATTTAGGCATTGTAGCAACCACTTAAAACATAGGAGAGGAGTTACTCTTGACAACTCACAGCCTGTAGATTATCTTGGTTGTACTTTAAGTTTAGCAAAGAGAAGAATAGTTTGCTGTGGATATACGAGTAATGGAAACATTTGTTGGAAAAGGTAGCTTTAAACCGAGCTTCAGCATGAAAATCATAACAAGCAACATTGGTTTCATTTATAAAGAGACAAACCTAATGCCGTTATCGAAATTATTATAAAATATAATTTTCTTAAGCTACTTCTTCAAAAAATATACTAGATTGCGTGCGGTACAATATGATGCTATAATAACGATCAATGTAAATAAATTGTACCAGGAAAATGTTTTCCTAAAATAATTAACGACGTTTCGAGCATAGCCCGTTATCAAGTAAGATTAAAAAGCGAGGATAGAACTAAAAAACGTTAAAGGAATATGGAATTCGACAAATGGAATAGGAAGACGGATGTAAGAGCATGGAAAAGAAATATATGGAAAGAGCTAATAAAAAAAATATATATACATATACGCAAATACAGAATTTATGTGTATGTACATATATGCACACTAATAATATGAAGAAAAGAAAAAACCAAAGAAAAAGGAGGAGGAGGGGGGGGGGTGGGGTTATTGGAGATACGTAAACTGTTTATTCAGTCCAGAAGAATATAAAGTTCCAAGTTTAAAAATGTTTCGTTTTTCCAGTGACTTCCTAATCGAGTTGCTATAGAGTTGCTTTGGATGGTGAGCAGGATGTCAAGAAAGGGTACACTGTATTCGGAAATGGTGCGTGTGAATTGAAGCGCTGGATGGAAATTGTTAGTGTAGTTGATGAAATTTTGTAGAGATTCAAGTGGTAATGATGTAGCTCCGACAATATCATCAATGTATCTCCTGATTAGGCAAGGGAAAGGACCATCATATGAACAGTAGATCAAGTGTTCCTGGTATCCAACAAAAAGGCATGCATAGCTAGGACCCATAGCAACACCAGTTGTTTACTTCCCATAGCAACACCAGTTGTTTGAAGGTAAAAATCACCATTGAACGAAAATGCATTTGTAGTTAACACAAGCTCGGCTAGACGAAGAAGAGTATTGGTAGGTGGGGTTTGTTTAGGGCGAGAAAAAACTTGAGAGCTTCTAATCCATCAGCAGGAGGAATGCATGTATGAAGGGATTTAACGTCCATTGTAAATAAATATCTGTTGGGGCCTTTAAATTTGAAATCCTTGAAAAGAAGCAGGGCATGCGATGTATCCTTGACAAACGTAGGCAGTTGTTGGTTGATTGGTGTAAATATGATATCAAGGTAGGCTGCAATTTGTGATGTAGGACAGGAGACGGCTGATACAATAGGTCAGCCAGGGTTATCAGGTTTGTGTATCTTTGAGAGCATATAAGAAACAGATGTACGGGGATGCTGAAAATATAATTGAGTAGCGTTTTCAGGAAGGTTGCCAAGACTGATTTCTTCTTTAATTATATTGATGACGGTTTTGTTGAAAGATTTAGTAGGATTGGTAGCTTGTTTGGCATAAGATGACGAATTTAACTGTGAATTGCCTTCTTGAATAAATAAATCTTTACGCCATACAACAATACGACCACCTTTATCTGCTGGTTTAATAACAATATCATCTCTTGATTTAAGATGTTTCTCAAGGCTTCCCATTCTGTTCTAGTAAGGTTGGATGTTTTACGCCGAGCTTTGAAATTTACTTGAGAAATTTGATGTCTGCATGTGTCTATGTAAAGATCCAGAGCTTTAAATTGGCCAGGTTGTGGTGTCCAGTTTGACTTAGTTTGAAAAAGGTTGTTTATAATAGCGGCTTGATCTGATAATGCTTCTACAGGAGTAGAAGAGAAGCTGTCAGAGTTTTTTTCCTCGAAAAATGCTTTAAGACGGAGGCGGCGAAGAAAGGATTCGGTATCTGGTTTGGTTTGGAACTCGTCGATGTATGAACGGAGTGGTACAAATTTAAGATCTTTGTTAAGTACACCACGTTCATCAGATTTTAATGGTGAATCCTCAGGTATTGTTTGTACAATGTTTTTGGTAGGCTCAGCTGTAGTCAAGGAAGAAACGGCATTAGTGGAAACACGAAGACGATCAAGTTTATTGTTTTTAGTATCTTTAAGATTGAGGTACGATTTCTGGTTGAATTCGTGTATCTTAATAAACAGTTTACGTATCTTCAATAACACCCCCCCCTTCCCCCTCCTCCTTTTTCTTTGGTTTTTTCTTTTCTTCATATTAGTGTGCATATATATACAAATACATAAATTCTGTATTTGCGTATATGTACACTTACGTTCAAAAAGTATTGGGACACACTTCGAAATTTCGAAGACATTTTATGCAACAAACTTGGAAGGACTTTTTTAAAATCTTTCTCATTAAATAAGTACAGCAGCTGTTTCCATGAAACTTTCACAAGATATTGTTGATGTTTGGACGCATTTTATGTACGCCAAATAATTGAAAAAACGTCGACCATAAAATTTCTATAGGCCTTGAGACGAAAACCTGGAGGCTCTTGAAATTCAAGAACTGAGTTAAGAGAAGCGCTTACAAATTACTTTCTACTAAAATAAAGCAAATGAATTTCGTAAAATTGCATCAATTGTCGGTTGCTAAATGAGTGCAGCTTTTCTGGTGTGTAAAAAGATTTTCCGTACAAGATCAGAAAAAAATCTACCAAGGGATGGCAGACCGAAGAAGTTTACGACGCCGTGGGACGAAAGGTCTTTACTGAGGGAACTGCGAAGTAATAGGTTGGAATCCTTACTAGAAATTATGTTGTCATGTAAAAAGAAGCTAAATGTTGGAACATAAGCAAAACTATGGCTAATAAAAATCATGAAAAAAAACCAATTTTTCAGCTTTATAGGAAGAAAATGCTCTCTCATAACAAAAATTAAACATCGCCGACGAATACAATGGACTCGAGTAAATGCAATAATTTAATAAAATTGTAGCAATTTCGTTGATGTAGCAAACTTTATTTGAAGCTTAAAATTAAAATTTTGATTTTGTAATTTCTTTCATAAATTTCTTCGTTATGCAAACGTGAAATTAAAAAAAGTTCAATTTGTTTCGACATCTCTAAAATTTTGTGAAGGTCATGTGACTTTGCCGTTATTAGGCCATTCAACCCTTCTGCATATTTTGTTGTTATATTCAGGAAAATCTTAAAAATCCTATGTTTTCAAGGTTATAATGTATAAGTTGAAGCATTTTCTTAACTTTTTATTCCACTTTGGGGATACGTAGGCCTAGATCTGAAAAAGTTTCCGTTGCAAAATCGAATCCAACGCAACGCCATAATTCGTTTATCGAATTTGTCCCAATACTTTTTGAACGTAAGTGTGTATATAAATATCTATTTTTATTAGCTCTTTCCATATATTTCTTTTCCATGCTCTTTTAATCGTCTTCCTATTCCCTTTGTCGAATTCCATTTTCCTTTAACGTTTTTTAGTTCTATCCTCGTTTTTTAATCTTATTTGATAACGGGCTATGCTCGAAACGTCGTTATTTATTTCAAAAATATTTTCCTGATACAATTTACTGACATTGATCGTTATCACTTTTTACTAAGACCAAGAACAAAACAATGTTTTAGTCATCAAAAACGTTTTAAGACAAGCTCGTCTCATCAATGGTGACAAACGAAAAATTGTGTGGCTCAATTCAATTTTTTCCGTATTTTTCTGATCATCGGCATTTAAGCAGGGTTACAATTAAAAAATGGTTTTTGCATTATAAAGCAATGTGCATAATGTAGTAACCCTTATTTGAAACAGAGAGAAGTTAACAAAATTCACTACGAGTTTTGTCTCGCTTTACACACCTCATTAAACAGTCCACCATTATTTCATTAACAAACAGCGTAACCTGGCCAACGTAATAATGATCGCCACGAGGAAGGAAAAACTAGCTAATTCTTAAACTACATTTCCACCTTTTTACATCACCGTTCTGAAGAGGGTTTTGAATGTTCAAGGGAGTAAAGATGATCGCTTGAAAAATTTCCTTATCTCTTTTAATGACTTACCAAAAACAATTGGCACACTATTTACTCATGTGCGTTGCAAGAAGACGTTGTTCACAATATTCTCTTGATCCTTAGCTATATTCGGCACAGCGGCAGTCATCATCTACTTGCACAAATTTATTGTTAAAGCCCGTTGGAGTATTGGTTGGTCGTGGATTCTCGCTGTAGTGGGCGCAATCTGCATCATTGTCGGTGACTTCCAGAGCCTCATACATTTTTCAAGAACCCGAAGAGCAAAGAATGCAGAGAAATTAAGAGAGTACATACCTATGGATAATGTGCCTGGGCATGCTTCTCATCAAGTTTGAACTGAAGCAGTTCTCTATGAATATGTGGCTGGGAAGAAAAAGAACGGTGTTACGCAAGGATCATTACTCGTGTCATACTGTCTGAGTTGACAAAACTATGTGTGCTTGGATAAATTTCAATGTATAAAGTTACGTTGTACATAGCATATGAACAGAAAGAAAGGTCGTCTAGTCTTTTGTTTCGTGAATCGAAAGAAAGTTTGTTTCGTGAATCGTTTTATCAGCTAAAGGCGAAGCATTCACGACCAACCTACAAAAAAGGGCTCAGTTAAAATGAATAGCGATATATTTGTGGTAAATTTAAATTCATATAGCTTAATTTCAAATTTTATAATTTATTTAAGCGTTTAATTGACTTAATACATTAAGAAGTGGCATTTATGACCAATTTTTTTGTGAGTTTATTCAAATCTTGACAAATAATCTAACCCAAATATACAAACACTTTGGCTCAAATAGCCTTTGATAAACATTAGAATAAAGTCTTTAGATTCTTAACACCTAGTATAGAATTATCATTGCTAGCGTAGCTTTTTATTGCATTTTGACAATAACTGGCTGAGGATAAGGATAAAAATCAAATGATTTCTGATTGAAAATGCACTCGAGGGAGAAACAAATGCTATTCCCTTATTGTGATGTAATTAACTGTGAGGGGTGTCAGACAAAAAAAGCTTTTGGTATGTTGGTATGTTTTTCCTTTCAAAGCTATTTTCAAACTTTGCCCCGTCAAAAACTGACGTCTTCTGAAATACAGTTCTTACAATACACCAAGGATATTTAATAACTTTTGATGTGAAGGCAAGGAATGTCGAGGGAGAAGCATTAGAAGATTACCTTAAGCAACGAGAACGTGTAAAATTGAAGAATCATGGAGTAAACTGTTAGTTAACCTCGGCGAAAAAATCTGACGACACCCTACGCTCCACATACCCTCCCCTACATTCCCCCTTCCATCTAGTCTTCATATCCCCCTTCTTTATCTTATCTCCACATCCTCCTTCAATTTAATCTCCACATCAATCGGCAATATTCCGTAACGATGTTCTGTGTTTCAAAATGATTAACGCAATGCAAATATTACCGAACGTTCCCTGCCTTGATTATTCAGCTGATTTGCATCTGATCAACATCTGTCAACAAAGTGGCTATACGTTATCTACAAAATTTGCTTCTTTAATGTTCTTAACTGGTCAAAAATAGATTGCAAACCCAAGCAACGTGTATGGTATGACAGGGTCCATACCTAAGGATAACGAGCCTGGAAGTACTTCTTGACAGATTGAGCTCCGACAATCTTCTGCAATTATATAGCTGTAAAAAAACGAACGATATTGCGCAAGAATGATGAATATAAGTATTTGCAGCGAATAAAACCATGGCTATTTTGAAACTTTTGAAAATATAAATACACTACATTACTCTAAAATACCTAAACACAAAACAATTACAGCCAACAAACAAAAATGATATAAAAGAGCAACGGTTATTCATAGTAAATCAAAATTCATTTAGTTTTCTCTTTACTTTTAATAGTTTGACATAATCATTTAGTTTCCAAAATGGTTGAAGAAGTGGCATTTATGATCAGCCTTCTTGAATATATATATATATGAATATATATTCTTTTGAGTAGATTTTTTTGAAAAGCATGTTCAAATGTGTAACATCGTACAAACGAAGACCACATAGGTTTGCTGTGTTCAACCTTTTTGTGTGAAAAGCCATGGCGAAAAATTTCTACAAAAACTATAATAACTTGAGCTAAGTGACACAAAAATAGAAAGCAATTGCCTGCGCTTTATCACAACCCTTTTCAAAAATCCTTCCTGATGATGCTAAAATTCTTCTATCCCCGTTATTTCTCCTAGAGCAACCAAATCTGCAGTAAATTTATTTGTTCAAATTTGCATTAAATTCATTTCTGCTTTTTTTGCAAGCAGCTTTACAGAAAGATATAAGGAAAACTTGAATCGTTTGCACATTTTGATGACAAGTTGAAGTCAGTTAGAATTTGCAGGGAATGATAAATGTTGCCCAGTGAATTTTCGCACCCGTTGTTCATCTCCTTAAAAGCGCCTGTTGTTGCATCAAGTAGCTTCTTAATGCTTGAAAAATGACAGCAAAAAAGAAAAAAACTTTGGCATTTCGAAGATGCATTTTAGGTGTGATCGCGACCAGAGCTCTGCATACAATAAATTCAACAAGGTGACACAAGAGTTTCAGCTTTTAACAGAGAATTCCTTTATCAGTGAGGCAAACGAAGACACAGAGACGGTTTGGAAAAAAGGTAAGGTAACTTTGTATAATGTCTCAAGTAAGCTTGAGGCTTCCTAATTGGAGATCGCCATCTTAGCTCGTCGTGTTCGAAGACCTAGACCGAAGGAAACTCGGCCCTAATGAACGTGAAACCGGGGGTGAAATCTCTACACTACACTTTGCACAAAGTTTTTAGCGAGCATTTCTAGCAAGGGTTAATAAATTCCCTTTTGAATTCAAATGTAGGCAAATGGTTAAAGCATTGGCAAGGTAATGGCTTTTCGAAGATCCTCTTTTCTCAGGATGAAGCAAAATTTTGCTGTTTAAATGACTGAAGACGCTAGCAAAAATGGACGCTCTATATCATTCATAAAATGAAAATTAGAGAGCATTAGGCTTTTAGAAAAAATACAAAAATTAAATTTTCAGATAAAAGCAGTTCAAGGCACATTAGTATAGATCAAAAAAGTCAAAACAGATTTGATGAAGAAAAAGATTGATAGGACAGTTATTTTAGCCATATAGCATGCAATGTCTAGTGAGCTGCATGGTTTAATGAAAGTCATTTTGATTATTTCTACCAGAGCACGAGATAAAGAATATATAATTAGTGCAACTGTGAGCTTTTATATCTGGAACTGTTTTGAGTTTTGACTTTTGAGAGCGTTTATTATTTTTAGTTTTTATCGTAGATCTCTGGAGTGGGGTACAAGCACTTGTTCTTCTCTCTATGGTGTTTGAATTCAGCAATCTTCTCATAAGTGGCTTCATCTACTGCCTCAAGACAGCGCTCAAACCATTCCTAATTACCATCATAACTTGTGCAGGTAATGTAATACGCAGCAATAAAGCTCGAAATTTATCAACAAACAAATTGCAGTGCTAAACATACCCGTCTCTTGCATGAACAGCTTGCAATAGATGCGATTTGTTAATAAGAATTCACGTCTCATGAATAAAAAAGCCTGCTCTTCTAATAAATATTCATAAATGGCTTTTATTGTTTGTTAAAATATTATCTAGCATGGATTCAAATGTGGGTACCAGGGATCTATGCTGAATTACTCAATCATGCATAAAATAATTGCAAACCACGCTTTCACGGTACTGGAGAACAAATTACACGATCACGCCCCAAGGATCTCTCAGAATCTTAAAGTGCCTATGCAGCGAAATTTACCATTCCAATATTTTAAAAGAAATCTATAGAACCCTTCGCCCTTGTTCTTAAACAAAAAACAGAATTCCGATAAGTTAAATGGTTCTTTTTTTATTGAGTGTCAAAGTATGCATATTTTGCAGTTGCGTTACGAAATTTTATTTTCCGCTGTGACGTCACAGTGATGAGTCGAGGCGAAACCATTTAGTCAGGCCTGTTAAATCACTTATTAGGTCGAATTGTGCAAATTGTGATACTAGCATGAAACTTTGCAATAAGGGGCAATGTGATGCGCTTAAAAAGATAGGATATGGAACTCTACTGATAATTGCCCCCTTGTTCTATTTTCACACTGGGGTATTTTCCCCTTAATACCTTTATTGATGGTGTTATCATATCTCAGCCTCACTTTAGTAGGAAAGCATGAAACTTTGCAATAAGGGGCAGTTTGATACGCTTAAAAAGATATGGACCCCCCCTGAAAATTGCTCCCCTTGCTCTATCTTTAGAATGCAAGAATTATATCACAAATTTCTCAGCGTATTAAACTGCCTCTATATTAAGAATTTCCGTTCTCCGTTTTATGGCCAATGGTAGAATTAGGGGTCTGAATCAGAAAACCCCAGTCTAAAAATAGAACTTAGGGGCAAGATTTGATTTGGTTCGATATCCAATCTTTTTCTGCATGTCAATCTGCCTTTAGATCGAGAATTCCAAGTTTCTATGACCTGGCGTTCTCCGTTTGCGGCCAGGGGTCAGGACCAGAGTACCCCAGTCTAAAAACAGAATTTAGGGGCATCATATGAATTGGGTTTATTTTACATCTTTTTCGACTCGCTAAACTGCCTTTATGTTGTGAATTTCAACTTCTTTGAACTAGGATTCTCTGCTTATGGCCAATTGTACAATTAGGGGTTTCCCCGCCACCTTGATTGCTGCTATTCGGTCGCTGATCGGTGTGAATTCTAGCACTGCGTTTTCGGTGTTCTTGTTCACTAGGAATCCCACACCTCTTTCATGCTTCTTCTCATCACCTATGTACCAAATCTTGTGCCCTTCTTCTGTTGTTCCTTCACCAATGCACTTCCATCTCATTTCAGATATGCCGAGGATGTTCCAATTCAGTCTGTCCATTTCTTGCACTAAAACCTCCGCTTTTCCACATGCCTTCAACGTTCTGACATTCCATGTACCAATTGCTGTCTCTACCTTCGCCACTTTTCTGTTTCCTCCGGCTCTTCCGGCTCTTCCGACTCTCCTTCACTCCACACCCTCCACACCCTCCACTCCAGTCGCATACTTTACACTGCCTCCCCTGGAGACTCCAGGAGACAGCGCGGCCGTTGTTGACCCGGGCCCCGACCGATCCGGTATGAGGTTGAAGTTAGTTGTCATTCCATGGGTGTTTCAATAGGCAAGAAGTACTCGGTGATGCCTATCTCCTCTCCGAGTACGCAGTGACACTGCGTGCCGGTGTGCTCGGCCAAAGTCCCGAAGGATCTCTTGCCCGACCACGTGCTCCAAAAGTCGTTGGTCCCTGAAGACTCTTCCGCCAACTGGAACTACTGGTACCCTGCTGCCAGTACCAGTCAATTTAACCCATAGATGGGGCGTATTTGAACCATACATGAGACCCTGTCAGGTACTACCACCCTGGGTCAAAGTGGACCTGGGAGCAGTAGCAGCTAAGGGGTCGCTCCATACTCCCCAGAACTCTGGATCTCCCGAACCAGAGCCCTGCTACCGGATGCAGTTTAAAGTCATACCCAGGACAAATTCTGCCAGGTACCACTTCAAATTTTGCTTCCGGTCACGTGACAGGGCAAAATTTCATTTTACGGTCAGAAAAAAGTCATTATTTTTAAAAATCTGAGGCAACCATTGGAAAAGCATCAGGAGAGATGAAAAAATCTCTAAAACACCAACCCTGTGACGTTTATATTTAAAGAAATATGGGCCGTTAAACTTTCGATGATGACGTCACAAAATATCTAACTTTCAATAGTTTCAAAATCTCTGGTATACTGGCACCATAAAACAGTTTAGAGAACCTTAACAACACCTGCGCTTGGTTAGATACAGTTATTTCCCTGTCTATAGCATTATACATTAAAAATTCATAAATACTTTCGTTACCACGGAGCTTTAGCAAAATCTTTGAGTTCAAATTTGTTTGTTCTGCTTTTTGTGTGAGCAGCTTTACAGACAGATTAGAAGCAAGGCTTTGAATTTTTATTCTTTTGAAAATCAAAGTCAGTTAGAGTTTACAGGAGGTGGACAATGTTGGTCAGTGTATTTTTGTACCCGTTGTTCCTGTCTTTAAACGCGCCTGTTAAGGCATCAAGCAGCTTCTTTAAGCTTGAAAAAGGAGACCAAAATGGTATAAATACTGGCATTTCAAAGATGCATTTTAGGTGTGATCGCGACCAAAGTTGTGCATACACTAAAATCAACAAGGTGACACAAGAGTTTCAGCTTTTAACAGAGAATTACGTTATCAGTGAGGCAGACGAAGATACAGAAACAGTTTGGAGAAAAGGTAAGGCAACTTCGTATAACGTCTCAAATAGGCTTGAGGCTTCGTGATTGGAGATCGCCATCTTAGCTCGTCGTGTTCGAAGTCCTAGACCGAAGGGAACTCGGCCCTAATGACCGTAAAACCGGGGGTGGAATCTCTACACTACACCTTGCACAAAGTTTTTAGCGAGCATTTCTAGCAAGGGTTAATATATTCCCTTTGAATTCAAATGTAGGCAAACGGTTAAAGCATTGGCAAGGTAATGGCTTTTCGACGATCCTCTTTTCTAAGGATGAAGCAAAATTTTGCTGTTTAAATGACTGAACACGCTAGCAAAAATGGACGCTCTATATCATTCATAAAGTAAAAGTTAGAGAGCATTAGGCTTTCAGAAAAAATACAAAAACTAAATTTTCAGATAAAAGCAGTTCAAGGCACATTAGTATAGTTCAAAAAAGTCAAAGCAGATTTGATGAAGAAAAAAGTTGTTTTGCTTTATTTCTTCTGGCAGTTTGATAGGACAGTTATTTTAGCCAAACAACATGCAATGTCTAGTGAGCTGCATGGTTTAATGAAAGTCATTTTGATTATTTTTACCAGAGCACGAGATAAAAAGTATATAACTAAAGCCACTGTCGACAAGCTGTTGTCAAACATCTAAACGGAACGAGACTGGTTCGATAAACTGCCGTATAAAAATGCTATACAACGAGCTTTCGTGATGCCGCAAAGACTCATAAAATTCTATTCACGTGCCTTCGCATCTTCGCATTGGATTTCCAGAAAGTTTCAGCAGGGGCATTGTGGCTCCTAGAAAAGGGCCGGGAGAGAATGATCATAAGGGGGCCGCTCTTTTGTTTGACATATCCAATCACAAACCACAGGTCGCCAAAAATGGTACCTACCTGGAAACCATGCACCAAAATACAAAGATGCCAGTTTTTATCATTTTTGAATGAACATCTGCTATATTTGTTGGTGTGGATCCCCTTTGCTCTAACCATTGTCTCTTTAAGACTGCAAAAAAAGTGAAAAAAAAACCAATGTTGTAGTGCACAGTTGATACAAACACAAAAGCAACAGAATTCTTACGGTGCAACAAAACATATTTTACGGTCACGCCATTTTAGAATGTTTTTACCGTCGTTTACCACGTTTTACAATTTTTATACATACTCATTGCGTTTCGTTAAAATGCAGTTCTCGAGGCCCTGGGCCAGTTTGCCCCTACTTGCCCCCCCCTCTCCACGGCTCTGTTCATAGTCAACTCATTTTCACAGGGGCCTGTTTGTATATGTTGACCTCCTCTAAGTCTGAACTGTGAACTTGAGTCTACATACAAGTGAGGCGTTTTCGCACCATAGATTTTGTTCATAACAAACATTTACCTGGGTTTTACAAACTCACTTGAAAGGGGCCCACGGGAATTTTCTCGGTTTCCCGCCTAGCCACAGCGCCCCTGAGTTGCAGTATGGTTTTTATAGAACCATACCTTGCATCATTGGAGCAAAGGGATAAAGCATGCAAGTAAATTTGTTCCAACATACTTTCTTTAGTTTATAAAGGTGTTCTTTAAAGTTCCAAAATAGATGCTCCAAAAAAATCTTTCAAATCTTGACTTGCGTTGACTTCAGTTTATCTGAATTCTTCAAACCCTTTTTGAACGTTTTAGTTTTACAGATTTATCCTTCCTGCAAAGAGGCCTTACCAGGGAACCTTAACAATGGGGTATACTGGATTCAGCACAAGAATATGCAAGAACCAATAAAAGTCAAATGCAAAAGAGAGACAGGAAATGTTCTCGCAGTATTTGATCACGACAGCGAATCACGCATAGTGGCTAAAGGGTTTGAAGACCCTGGATCGTATCGGTAAGTAACACAGGCAGTGTGTTGCGCTGCTCATTGGCAATTTTTTGTTGAATTTTGAGGGTCCTCGAAATTAGAGAAGTGCGACAAATTAGTACAACTGATCAATAGAGTTGTCAACTGATGACGTTACAAAAATCTAGTTTTAGAATTTTTGAAATATTTTCCTATAACCTGAGAAAGCATCATGAAATACCTCTAAATTTGCAAAATCAGTTAAAGGTATTACGAATTGGCTGAAATATGACCAGGTAAGCAGTAAACACAAGATCTGGCCTCATCAAACCTACGTAATTTGGCCTCAGTTCAAAACTTTATGAACTGAGCCAAAATAACAGTAATCGGTTAGCATACTTTAAATCTTCTGTCGGCCATAGCTCACCCGATTTTTGACAAAATTAACTGATTTGGCATACATAAGAGTATTTGATGGTGTTATTTCATGTTATGTGGTCAGAATTTGAAAATTCTAAAAATGATTTTTTGTGACGTCACACTTGAGAACTCTATAGCAACAAGAGGCGTCCTTTGTTACAAAATGAAAACTCACTGAAATAGAAATTTTATTCTTTGTTTCGATAAACCAATGGACGGCAGGACGCACTGCCTTTAAAGGAGGATGTTTTCGGAAAATTTCAAGATTTTTTGAATTACAAAGGATAAAATTTAAGTATCTATAGAATACTCTTATGAAAGCATCTGTAGAATTGAGCAATAAAAATATGATAATATGGTACATTCATTGAAGAAGTATTGTTTTTTTTGCTAAATTCAATAAAGCATTTTAATTTGTGGGAATCACTCTTAGAAATTCTCGCAGGTTTTTTCAGAATATCTTTTCAAATATGAAAACTATGAATGCTTTTCTCCTTTAAGTTCCATTGCCAAGTCACAATAAATAAACAGGCAGGTAAACAATCCTATAATTCCTTTCAGTTAAGCTAAGTCCAAGCATTGTATACCCACACTGAAGCTGTATGAAGTTTATAAACAAAAAATAATTGCCCACAGATTTTGTTCATTCAAATAGGGTATAAAAAGCAGTCGCATTATATTCTTTAAAATATCAATAAAAAATTGTGCACAGAATGCTTGAAAGTTGTGTGTAGGTACAAGTTGCAACTTCTGATTTAGACACTAGCCACCTATGAAGCTATAAGTAAATAACAACTTATTAACAGCGTAAGTAACATGAGATATCCGCAAAAGTCATAAAAGACAAAATTTGAATAACTTTCTTTGAGCCCTCTAATTTATGCTATAAAATAAAAATTAACCACAAAATACCTAATCCAAGTCAGAAATTTCTGCCCTCTCTTCAAATGTGGCAAAACTGCTCTTTAGCCGAAAAGCATTTCCTAAGTACTGACGTTTGATAATTTGAAAGATTGAAAAAACTCTATAAAAATAACCTTAGAATTGATATAAGTTACACTTCTATAAACAGGCATAGAATCACCTACACGACTCGACTTCAAGACTTGACAAGCTTTGTCGACTCCTCACGTCAATGCCGCCAGTTCACTAGAATTGATTGCATCTCAATGGGTTTGTATTTACCTGCGATGAGTACCCCATTTAGTGGATACCTCGTGGATAGAAGCGGGAGTAGAATGGATTATATTGGCGGTGGACCATCAAATGGAAGAGGTATGGGTTAGAATTGCTTTTCACCAGATTTGCAGTTGAAAGCACATTCAGCTTAGATCGCATTCAAAAGTTTTGCTGGCAAAGACAGCACGGGAGATGAAGAATCATCTTTTTTCTATCATTACAATATGCAAGTTTTGATGTGCCAGTCATAGCGGAAAAAGACACAAGGTCATCAAATTTCACCAGAATAATCTTTGAAGAAGGATTCAGCGTAGAGAATCATTAGCATTAAACTAATTTGAGTTGTTTGATATTTTGACTTTTTTAGCGTTATTAGAGCCCGATTCAACTATTTAATATTTTCGGAAATATTTGCATTAATTTGAAAATTCCAAATAAGCTGCATGTGCCAAATTCTTCTTTATGTAATTGTCGTCAATCCTCGCCTTTTGACGCCAAGCTCGCAAAATACCGAGAAGATCTTTGAAATCATTGAATTGTTGCAGGTTTTTATAATAAGCGATAAGCAAATTCAGCATTTTCTTATCATATGAAAGGTAAATCTTGGAACACTGAAATCAATTTCCAAGGTCAAAACTAATCATCCCCCTCTCCCCCACGGAACAATGTTGGTTTACTATCAAACGGGTTAGGATTTTAGGAAGCACTTTCTTTTGCACTTCTTTTATGATATTTCTCTAAATCATCAACATTGTTTTAGGGGGAAGGGGGCGGAAGAAGCAATTTTTTTTCATGAAAGGAATGAAAGATATCAAATGCAGCGTAAATTGGTGGGTGTTCCAAGTACTTTTGGCATTGTACATGAGTAAATGGAATTTTTCACAAAGGCATAAAATCTGAATAATTAATTTGTTAACATCTTTTGACAAAAAAATTATTTGGATTAAAAGAGACTTAGAAATAAGTAAGTTATTAGCAAGCACTTAATGATTAAGAAGAAACGAATAAAACTGTACCTATCTTTGAGAAAGCAATATCTTATCATAGGATGCAGTTGTGGAATAAATGGTACATGTGCAAAAAGTTCATATCTTTGCAACTGTGATGTCAATGATGAGGTATGGCGATTTGACGAGGGATTTGTCACCGACAGCAAGAGGCTGCCAATAACTGAAGTGAGGCTTGGAGATACAGGTGGTGCGTCTGAAGAAGGTGCCCATACCATTGGGAAACTTATCTGTGAAGAGTGGCCATAAGCATTCATTAAAGACTGCCACCATTTCAAAATCAAAGGTGACTTCTATTAGTTGCAGATGGAAAGCAAAAATGGTTACAGCTGGCAGTGACACATAGTAGATGTTTAAAGAGATAAAGTTTAACACAACACATGGGTCATACAAAAGAGACAAAAGTCTTTGAAAAAAGCAGAAAATATATTTGACTCATCACTACAAAATTCTCAGTTTTCGAATAGAGAAGTTATAATAAATTTTCCACCATGAATACAGTGCATTATCTTGAAGCAAAGAATAGTTATAAAGACTCAAAGAGAAATTTTTCAAAGGAATTCATTACTTGCCTTGCAAAATGTAAAAAATCTTATAATCTTTTTATGTTTAATTGTATATATTCAAGACTTAAACAAATTATCTAAGAACCTCTCCACTAATTCTACAAGTGGAAATGACTCTAAAGTTCTAATAGAACGCTTTTCGTTTAAAACTATTTCAATTTTTGCTTACATTAAGAATTGACAAGGTCTTTGCAACCACCCTGACTAAAATCCAACAAAATTAATAAACACAGCTTTCATCTCGCAATGGCAAATGATATATGGTGCGGGGACGGTTTAATGGCTAGGGTCGCTTACTAAAGATTCAAAGATCCGTGGTTCCAGTCCTTATTGTGACCAAATTTCTCTCAGAGCGAGGAGAGTCGTCAGCTCTCTGTAACTCAAGGCGTAGGAATTACGAGGTGTGGTCACATAGAGAGGAAGGGAAAGATTTTCAGCGTGATAAGAACTACCTTAGGTACCAAATTATATAATACAATATATGAAGCAGTTCTATTTCATATGGATCAGCCAAATCTGAAATTTCCGTTTTCTGTTAAGCTTTGATATAGAAGCGCCACAAGGTTCAGCTATGGAGCCTATCTTCTTCAGTTCTTTGTACTTAGTATCTATTCAATAGCGTATCTAAATTTATTTTGATTTTGAAGTTATACAGCGGCAAACATAGACTTGTTCATGGTATTTTATCATTTTAAATTTGTTTTGTCATCTAGAGTTCTAGATTTAGGTTAAGCATAAAATTTGGCAACGTTTATTACATCGTCTGCTTTGTAACAGTACAGGATTTATCGAAGAAGCGTAAGATTTTTGCAATGGGTATGAAATAATATGAATAGAGGATCTTTACAAAGAATCACGTAAAATTTCTATTGAAATTTTTGGTACTCTACGTATGATATTGTACATTACCAAAAATTTTAGTAAACTCATTACCTTCTTAGAACATCAATTAAACAATATAAAAGTACATCAAAATTGATAAAGATTGTAGGTTACTCATCCATTCTTAGAGGAACAGATTCTCAAAATTAAAAAGACTACAGAATTCTTTTCTTGGGTATGAGCCAACACGCTCATCAATATACCATCATCTCGTGATAGTTAGTAAACACTGTTTTGAATGCAAAAAACAGAATCTGTGCTTGGGCAAATCTGGAAATCTCAAACCAGTCGCTAAAAGGAGTCAAATAATTTTTGCATTTACCCTGATCATTGTGTTTCATTTATTCTTATTTTGCCAATGATAAACATGTTTCTTCAACTGCAATGCGTCATAAAGCAAAATAGTTTTTGATTCTCAGCCATACGTAAATCCTCGAATTGCACTCCCACGAAAAATTCCCCCTTCGAATAAGTCCCCATCCTAGAGCAACAAATTGTCAATAACCCCCTCCCCCTAGAATAAGCCCACACGGTTGCTTTCGGCGTTTTGTTGAACTGTTTCAGTGACATGCTTAAGATAATTTTATAAGCCCCCCTCTACTCATTAAAGCCCCTCTCATCGTATAAGCCCCCATCCAAAAATATCCAAAAATAAAGCCCCCAGGAGGATACATCGGGATTTCCGGTATAGAAAAAAGATGTTAATCCGCGTGTACGTAAAAATTAAATGACTAGCTTGTATTCGAATCAAGTAGACATTCAACAATGTACAGTATAAATTATTATCTATCGTATATTATTAACTGAAATTTCAAAAACGTTGTGCAATAATTAATTATTACGATATATCAACATTTGAAACGATGCCAGTATGGAACTTCACCATAATAATCTATATCTTTCATTGTTACATTCTGAAAGAAACCAGGGCATAACTGATGAAACATATTTATTTAATAAGACATCTAGCTAACATCTTTTGACAAATTCTATCAAACGAAATTTTGACTTCTGAGGAAATGTATGGTAAACACAAGGAGCACATCTCCTCCTCAGCCACTTCAAGCGTCAAATTCATGACATGTGTTTTATAGTAAATTTTCTCCCAAGGCTCTTAGACATTGAAAGACTTAACCATTTTTGTCTTTTCATGATCTTACAACATTTTTTCTTTCAAAGTAAACTTTATTTCACCCTTTCCTTTCTAGACTTTTCTACCTCTTCTATGCGTTGGCGTTGTTATAGGTCCTCGGGTCTTTTCCTAACATTACCAACAAGAAAGATACGACTGGATTTTATAGTCATTCATTTTTAGCTATATCAATATCATATGATTTTATTGAACAAAATTTATCTAGCAGCACTGGTTAACTGATAATATCGGCAATTCAATTAAAGATTTCATAAAGATGACCTCTAGAAAATTAATTTTTTCGGAGATTAATTTTTTAGATTGATTTTTAGAAAATCGCAGCTTAATGAAATTGATAACCAGTACGACGACAAAAAAAAAACATGATGCATTCGATAACTTTTTGTTAAATCGCAAAAGCTAAACAAAGGGGATCGCAAATCATGAATTTTTTCCGACTTTCTTTCCCGGATTGTTTTCTTTGTTGGGCCTTTATTCCTTGTTTATTTCTCTAGGTTGTTTATTCCTTGTGTCTTATCTCACGTTCTGATTGCTTCTCCAGTGTACTTCTTTATCACACGATTTACGATCCCCGTTGTTTAGCTCTTTCGCATTAAAGTTGAATTTTTCTCGCCTGTAATTATACTGCAGATGACTCTAGCCAGAGTCGAAACGTTTGATTTAATTCAACTTAATAGACTTGTCGTTTCAATGGAAACAACATAAAGGCCGGTGAAATAACGAAATAACGGCCGGTGATCGGTGAAAGCCGACGGGGAAATGAAAAACACCGACGAGGCACTGGCATGATTTAACCGACAGGATATTTTATCTGAGTGGCATTTTGTCCAGTTGAGTTTTGTCCGTGACATATTGTCCGGTGACATTTTGTCCTTGTGCGTTTTGCCCGCACCCGCCCCATTCTACTCCAGTATGATCCGGTACATAGCAATTCTTTGTTGGTGCACAGTCGATGCACAACAATACCTCTATGTCTTTGTTGCACAAATTACTCAGATCTGCAATGGTGCACAGGAATTCTTAATTAATTATATTCTAGTTAAATTAATAAAGGCAGCAAAATCTCAATCGGGTTCGAGTTAACAGCACGATTGGGCTAAAACCCACGTTATGCCTATGGTTTTATTGGCACTTGTTATTGCCATTGAGACATTGGCAAGGCCACCGAGAGGTTTTGAAAGCACTGGGTGAAAGCTAAAGGATGAGGTTTCCAGCAAATACAGCCAAGAAAAAATATTTGTGACCACGCCCTTAAGATTTGCTTATAGTACATTTCCGAATATTTCTTGCAGTCATTTTCTTGCAATCTTTTAAATAGCTCTTCTATATTTTAAGGCTTTTGTCACTTTACTTTTGTTTATTTTTTATTATATCCATTTTGATAATGGTATTCATTACTTTTTGAGGACCCCTGGAATATAAGGCCCGGAAACAAAACCTGATTTTTCATATTATATCAAAAAAGGATCTGTTGCATTTTATTTTCCCTCAATTTCTTGCAGGTTTGAAGCCCCCAGCAATCCTTATTTGGCACCACCCATATTCAATTGGATTATTCTATGATATCCCATCATTTCCTATATGCTATTGCATTATCTTTGGGTGGCTCTGACGCTGTTGTTGAGAACTTTTATAGTGTGATCGAACCTATTGCCAGGCTAGGCAGAAACATTTCACCCTAGAGAATAGAAGTATTCTTGACTGGTCAGCGTTGAATTTTTTTATATTTATCTCTTGGGTCACAAGGTTTACCTAGACAACAAGACAGGTTACACCAACCTAGACACAAAGTAGGAAACTTCAAGAAAAAGACAGATATAACCTACAAAGCAAGTAGGATGCTCACAAAGAAGGGGCTTTGTTCATTGTTTAATACCTGTTGTCAGGGCCGCGAGAGGGGGCATTCTGCCCCCGGTCCTTCATGTCCAGAGGGCCTTAAAGACAATGAATTCCATGTACTAAAAATGATGAAACATCTTAAACAATTGCAAGACATGACTGCAAACAATATTTTAAACTGTATTTTAAGGTCATCTAAAGGGCATGGTCGTCTTGCTTTGCTCGCATGGACTGCATCTTCAGATTTCATCAATATTACCCTGTAAGTAACAGGCTGTAACTAAGCTTATTAGTGGCTTCATGCTCACTGATTGGCCAATTGTTCATTGACAGATGAATGAAGTCACTAAGCAAAATTTCTGCTCGCTCCGGTTACAGGGGCCCTCTTCTTTCACATTTGCCGAAACCTCCGAAACCTCTCTGCGACCCTGGGTGGTGCACAACAGCAATGGAAAATTTTGCATCTGTTGCACAGGAAACCAACTTTCCATACTCTGCGACCCTGGCTGGTGCACAACAGCAATGGAAAATTTTGGTGCACATCTGGTGCACAGGAAACCAACTTTCCATACTTGTATCAGAACTCTGGTGACTCTAGAAAACATCCGAAAATCGAATGTTTTTCCGTGTTCCAAAATGAACAGTGGATTACATTCGAAAATATAATGTTTTTCTGTGTTCAAAAAATTGTGAGAGAGAAGCTGTCGTAGTGTAAGCCGTTAGTTTCCCAAATTTTTATTTTCACTGTTGTCACAATTTCCCCTTATTTCGACCACTGGTTGTAATGAATTTGCCTAAATTGGAACTGTCTTAATGGATCTGTCTAAATTGGAATTGTCTACGATGTAGCAAGAAGTTATCGAATGCATTTGTCTTTTTTCTCTGTCGTCGTATTGGCTATTAATTATCTTTTTTGAGATCAGAGACTATACCGATCCAGCTGTATAAAGCTACAGCAATCAACTTGTGATGAGAAATAGTATATCGCTTTCACTTAATCGCTTTTTAATTTATCACTTTCACTTTATCGCTTTCAATTTATCGCTTTCACTTTATCGCTTTCACTCAATCGCTTTTACTTTGTCACTTTTAGACCCCGTTTACACTGTCCCGTGCAAGTTTGGAACCGTGACAAAACTGTCGCGGTTCGCCCTTGCGTTTACACTAGCACTGTGGAACCGTGACGATTTTGCTCTGCTATCCGGAACAGTTTTGACCCTGCTTTGAAAGCGAACGAATTTTGTACCGTCACGGTTCCGTTTTTGAACGGGACAGTGTAAACACCTATCCGAGACGATTTTGTCACGGATTCACAAAGAGGCCTTTTGTATGGGTGTTTCAGGTAATCGAGGCTTTGATTGTGGCGTAACTACGTTCTCAAATTCTGAAGAAAAGGAAATTCTGAAGAAAAGACGACCACAGAAAAGGCTTGTAGTGTTTCCCAGTCCAAGCCTTGATTGGACTTTGCAGTTTTGTAGTCTAAAATAACACTGAAAATTAAAGCCACCCTGTCTTTCGTCCAAGTAAAGTTTTAATCGGCCTTCCGCTCCATTTTAACTCACAATAAAAATTCGATTGTTGACTTCAGCGGCAAAATAAAAGCCTTGGTTGACTAAATACCGCTTCTTCTAAACAATGTTCTACCATTAAATTAAGGTCGTACCGGTACAGTGTAAACGGAACGGCTAAACGGAACAATTTGGAACCGCGACAGTGTAAACACTTGCGAACCGTAACGGTACAAAATTGTCCCGGGACAGTGTAAACGGGGTCTTACTTGATCGCGTTCACTTTATCACTTTCGCTCGTACCCTGAGTGGCTGACAAATCAACTTGCTTAAGCCGATTATCGTTGCTTTGCGGTTGTGATCACATGTCTCATTTACAATATCGCATGGCATATCCATGTATCCCATTAATGCTTCAAGAGTCTTGACCCGGATTACATTGTGGTTTACAAGTGTACCTTGCAAAGGCGATCAGTAAAATCACGTTTTCTCCAGACTCACAAATCCTCTACATAAAGGTACGAAAAAGCTATTTTGTACCCAAGGAACCAATCGACTGGCTCAAAAATTTGCACACGGCCAGGACAGATGTCGGGCAAGCAAAGTGCATCTCAAAATTTTTGTTTTTGCTCTGGTCCGTCTTTTATAGCCAAATACAGCTATGAGAGGAAAGAAAAATTGTTTGGCAATTTTTGACAGGGTACAGTTTCAAGGGGAGGAGGAATTTGAAAAATCTGAGACACTTTATGGTAGCTTAGGATCTACGCTTTCTACTGATATGAGTCAGATTTTGATACCTGAAACGCAAGGGTACAGAATAGTTTTGAAGGTGGTACACTCATTTGAGCAATAAATTTGTCTGGAAAATATCAATATTTGCCAAATATTTTGATATGGTTGAATTTGCCACATTCTTGTGCATCGATGATGTATAGTTTAATCTGATTCCGTTAATAGTTTTGCTTTTTGGAAGAGAAAACCAAATATCGTGTCAAAAACGTTTACCGTAACCTTAAAGTTTCCAAGAAATTAAGCATTTAAGCAATAAACTACCCTGAAAAGTATCATTTTTCACTTTAGTGAAAGTATCACTTTTTTTACCTGTTCTACGGCAATATGTCACCTGTTCTACGGCACTATATCATCTGTATATTTAACTTTGTTTTAGTACAGAATTAATTTTATTGCAATAGAAATTGTGTTTTTAAAACAAATAATTTTACAACGCAGATACGATCGACTTTAACAGCTGAGAATAAATAACAATGACGATGATGCCGAAAGAGATTTACAATCACCAATAGTTTCGTTTCTACGGAGATTTAGTTCAATTGACTCAACAGAATTTGCATTGCCTTCTTTTGTTTGTTTTGCCGGTTTTGTTTCTCCAGTTTATCAAACAGATGGCTAATTGGAAGGATTTAAATTATTTGCATGTTTTGTAAAATGTCAAAGTCAGTTAGATTTTACAGGAGGTGGACAATGTTGCCCAGTGTATTTTTGTACCCGTTGTTCCTGTCTTTAAACGCGCCTGTTGTGGCATCAAGCAGCTTCTTTATGCTTGAAAAAGGAGACCAAAATGCTATAAATGTTGGCATCTCAAAGATGCATTTTAGGTGTGATCGCGAGCAAAGTTGTGCATACATTAAATTCAACCAGGTGACACAAGAGTTTCAGCTTTTAACAGAGAATTACGTTATCAGTGAGGCAGACGAAGATACAGAAACAGTTTGGAGAAAAGGTAAGGCAGTTTTGCAGCGAGTAATTCTTGCGATAAAATCTTGAGTAACTATTTTATATTTACTCTTAATTTGGGCGATAAGGTGGAAAGAGCAAAATGGTTAGGACTCGCTTTTCAAAAATAGCCTTTTCCGAAGCAGAACATAAGTTTTGATTGAAAACTCAATGTCGTTCTTGAAATAGGAAAAGGCATGTCAAAATTTCATTACGTCGCCTGATATTTCTGTACGACGCGAAGTGGAGTGGAAATGGTTTTGCAAGAAACAATACCAAAACTGAACCATAATATAAAGAAGGTTGCAAGACCCATCGGTGATGTTAGAAAAACAGTCAGAAAAAGAAATTATTAGATGGAGAGAGAAATAAATTGATTTTTTTCTATTTACAATTCGATAAAAGTTTTGTTTCACAAAAAGCAGGTACTGTTTGATAAGCGGCAAGTTATTTTCAACCATTTTCACTGGGAATGAAATACATTCAATGCCATTGGCGTAATCTGTCGGTCGATAAGCTGTGAACAAACTTGAAACAACTTAATGAACAAACTTTGAAACCATTCTGTTTATCAATGCTATACAACGCTTGTACATTAGGCCCTCAGGGGCGGACTGGCTCCAAATCTAGGTCCCGGGCAAATTCGTCGAGAAAGGGCCCCGAAATACAAATTAAGTTTACGGGTAAGGCTGGCTTAAAAGGATATTGGAATATTGCTATTAGTTCTCATTAGTTACCACCATATAGCTTAAGAAACTCCAGATTCAACACAGCGGAGCCACATCATGAAGCCACATTAAAAAATATGGATTTAATACCGTATCATACAGATGTACCTAACCAAATGTGGAAGTCAGTTCCAAGCGAAATAAAATACTCAACAACTTTACAAATAATCAAGAAAAAATCTCGGAATTTTCATCGTTCAATTGTACTTGTGATCTCTGCAAGGAATAGTATGCAACATCAATGATACTTGATTTATATTTAGCAATGGTGATTTAAATTGGATGTTCTACAATCCCTTCTTTTGGTCCGTGTCGTTTTCACTGTATTGCCTGGGGTTTATTCTAACGAAGGATAAGAAGAAAGAGAAAACCATGCCATTGTGGGGGGAAAAATTATTGTTTTCTAGCTAAATGACTTTTAAGATGGAGAAGAATGTAGCAAATAAGATTATACAGGCAAAGTGTTTAGATTGCTTCAGGGTTAAGTAAAGGCCACTACAATGATTATAAATTTTGGCCGAATTCAAGAAAAGTTTGGAAATATGACGTTATAGGGATGGGCAGAAAATGCATCAAAAATATTTACAACATCAAGTTTGACCAAAGGAGGATCCTAGGCAATGCCTGTTAGCTTTCTTTTACAATAATTTGCTGGTTTAAAGTGGCTTGATTTTGACATAACAATGGGACAGAAGTTTGCGTTGGCATTATGATAAACTTTCAAATGTCAGAATAGGAAAAACGTTTAACAGCAAAGAATACCGTGGCGGATAAATGACACAATTTTACCGACAAATTTGCTTGCTTTTGTGGGTATCGCCTCCCCCCCTACTTGAAAAATGAATTTCCGCCACTGGAGGAATGAGTTGAAAAAGGTGCAAGCGATGCAAAGGTGGAGAGTCAGAATCAAAGCAGCTGACTCTAGGATAATCTGGACTGAAACAAAACAAAGCTGGGAAAAAAAGAAGGAAATGGAAAAAGGCTTGAAGTAAAACAAAAACAAGCAACGTCTTAAAAATGTTCTGCACTAAGATTTCTTTCACGAATGAGCATGTAGAAAAGGCTACAGCTTTAGCTTTCTCTTCCTTGCACCCTTATTTGTGCCTGTGAGATGACAGTTTTTGACCGGTGAAATGTGTTCGAGTAAAGCCAAGCACCTCAAACTTTCCCAGTAATTCTATGAAATGACGTCCCTAATTTTTTCACGATTACCGACAAACCAAGATCATAATCTCAACTGTTAGCGACAAGCGCAACATTTCCGACACCCAAATCTTTAAACAAGTTTCTAAACGCAACAAGAAAAAACCTGTCTTGCCTGTAGAAGCCAAAGCTAATCAGTAAGAAATCTTCAAAAGTAGTGACTCATTCCATTCTATGTTTAAATTACAAAATATGTCTATATTTCTAGTGCGAACAGCAAAATCTGAAATGTTTGTACGGTTTAATGTTTGTTAATTCCGGTATAAATGTTCCGATCAATCTTCCATTTCTTTAAACAACTGTAGCATTTTTAATAGTTTTACAGATTTATCCTTCCTGCAAAGAGGCCTTACCAGGGGACCTTAACAACGGGGTATACTGGATTCAGCACAAGAATATGCAAGAACCAATAAAAGTCAAATGCAACAGAGAGACAGGAAATGTTCTCGCAGTATTTGATCACGACAGCGAATCGCGCATAGTGGTTAGAGGGTTTGAAGACCCTGGATCGTATCGGTAAGCACCACAGAGTTGTTTAATAAAGGTGTTCTTGAAAATTTATACAAAATTATATATTAATGTAGTTACAGAATACTATAGATGACAACATCATTAAAATCTACCACAAAATATATGATTTTTGTTTGCCTAATAGCCTGAGTATCAGGTAATTATTGATAATTATTACAAGATCTTCTACTTGGTTCATAAATTTCAGAACCCAGACAAAATCACATTGATTTCGGGAAGTAGATTGCATCCATACTTTCGAGAAATTTTGAATCGAATTTAAAGTATTTCAACTTGCATGCTTATTAACGAGGCTCTTCAAGATTTTGTCCAGAGTCAATAATCACACATATAAATTTTTTATTGTAAATTTGTCGAAAGTTCCAGACCATCTTTAAAAACAAATTTGCTTTACTCTATTGGCAACTACCAATAAATAAACTTGCATGTAAACATTTCTAAAATATTTTCTTTGATGATAAGAGAAGTCATGGAAATGGATGTCTATCTCAAAGAAAATATTGCTCATTGTTCAAAAAAGGGCATAAAATAAGTATTTCTAAACTAATCAATAAAAAATGCGGTGAGCGTGTTTGTGGCTTTTAGACACAAATCAAGTTGCAACTGTTGATTTAAATTAAAGCATCCTTTGAAACATGATGTTAACATGTGCCCCAATAAGATTTTTTATAAAAAAATATAAATTTTATTGGCGACAATGTTCTAAAGAGTTTTCGTTTTGAGACTGAGAGTGAGAAAAATTTGTTTTCTTTTTCAAATTTGGTAGGGTTTTAGAGAGGCATCGCCTGCCCTTCAATAGGTGATACGTGAAAAAATTATGTGAGTCATGCGATTCTCTTTTATGAACTTCGCAATGCATGCATCTGTTTTTCAGTGTTTTTCAGTGGTTTTTAGTGGTTTGCAGTGGTTTTCAGTGATTTTCAGTACTTTTCAGTATTTTTCAGTGTTTTTCAATGTTTTTCTGTGTTATTCAGTGTTATTCAGTGTTATTCAGTGTTATTCAGTGTTTTTCGGTGTTTTTTAGTGTTTTCCAGTGTTTTTCGTTGTTTTTCGGTGTTTTTCGGTGCTTTTCAGTGTTCTTCATTGTTATTCAGTGTTTTTCGTTGTTTTTCGGTGTTTTTTGGTGCTTTTCAGTGTTCTTCAGTGTTTTTCAGTGTTATTCAGTGTTTTTCGTTGTTTTTCGGTGTTTTTCAGTGTTATTCAGCGTTTTTCGTTGTTTTTCGGTGTTTTTCAGTGTTATTCAGTGTTCTTCATTGTTATTCAGTGTTTTTCGTTGTTTTTCGGTGTTTTTCGGTGCTTTTCAGTGTTCTTCAGTGTTTTTCAGTGTTATTCAGTCTTTTTCGTTGTTTTTCGGTGTTTTTCAGTGTTATTCAGTGTTTTTCAGTGTTATTCAGTGTTTTTCGGTGTTTTTCGGTGCTTTTCAGTGTTCTTCAGTGTTATTCAGTGTTTTTCAGTGTTCTTCAGTGTTTTTCAGTGTTTTCCGGTGTTTTTCGGTGCTTTTCAGTGTTCTTCAGTGTTCTTCGGTGTTTTTCAGTGTTTTTTCAGTATTTTTCAGTGTTATTTAGTGTTTTTCGGTGTTTTTCGGTGTTTTTCAGTGTTTTCCAGTGTTTTTCGTTGTTTTTCGGTGCTTTTCAGTGTTTTCGGATCTTGTATTTCGGACTTTGAAACACACAAATTACCCACAAATATAGCTAAAGAAGAGACCTGTTTAATCTTTTTCTGGAACTCTTATCCCACGAGCGAAATGTATAAAACAAATAAACAGATGAAAAGAACCCCTACCAACTGTCAGGAATACCTATAAAAATTGTCGTCTCATTTCACTACAAAATAAACTGCACTTAAAAACAAGAATAACTCTCAAGCCCTGAAAATTGAAATTTGACTGCTTAACAAATTAAAGCACTTTCTGGAATTTCAACTCACAGGCACAGAATCACCTACACGAATCGACTTCAAGACTTGACAAGCTTTGTCGACTCGTCACGTCAATGCCGCCAGTTCACTAGAATTGATTGCATCTCAATGGGTTTGTATTTCCCTTCCTCGAGTACCCCATATTATGGATACCTCGTCGATAGAAGCGGGAATGGAATGAAGTACTTTGGTGGTGGGCCAACAAATGGAAGAGGTATGGGTTAGAATTTTTCTTGACTTGGCTTCGATTCGCAGTTGAAATCACGTCCAACATAACACATTCTAATAGATTTTGTTAGCAAAGACAGTATGATGGTGGAGAGAGGTAGAACCAATAATCTTGGAAGTAGGATTCAGCTTAAGAACCCGAATGTAAAACAGGACTCTGCTGTGTCACATACAACCATTGGACCCCAAAGTATATGAATCCATGTTGTATAGGACCCCATTGAATTGTATACGACCATTGGGGCCCAAAGTATAGGACTCCATTCTGAATAGGACTCTATATTGTTTAAGACCTCGTTGTATCATATACGACCATTTGGTTAAATAGTATAAGAATCTTTAATATAGCACCCCTTGTATTAAACACGACCATAGGACCCCAAAGCATAGGACTCCATGTAGGTGAGAATCCGTTCGTATCATACATGATCATAGGATCCCATAATATATGAACCAATAGTATCACATCGCAGGTATACCTTCATATTTCTTTCTACCTTTGTAAGCTGATAGTAGTTTCAATAACGTCATCAAATTTGCATTAGATGAAGCAAAATACTGAATAGAAATTGATTTTGTCAACATTTCTTGATAAATAATTAATTGGAATAAAACTGGTACAGGCATAAACATAGTTCATTGGAAAAAGAAGTTAATGATTAAAAATGGAACTGGCTTTGAATAGGCAATATCCTATCATAGGATGCAGTTGTGGGATAACTGGTACATGTGCAAAAAGTTCAGATCTTTGCAACTGTTATGCAAATGATGCGGTATGGCGATTTGACGAGGGATTTGTCACCGACAACAAGAGGCTGCCAATAACTGAAGTGAGGCTTGGAGATACAGGTGACGCGTCTGAAGAAGGTGCCCATACCATTGGAAAACTTATCTGTGAAGAGTGGCCATAAGCATTCATTAAAGACTACCATCAATTCAAATTCTGCAGGGGATCAACCAAAAATTGGAACAAGGAGGTGATTCCCGTTAGTTGAGAGTTGAAAAACAAAACAATTGCAACTATGCAGTGGGAGAAGTGAATACTTAAAGAGACACAATTGAACACTCCAGATGAATTAAAACAGAAGAGATGAAAGTCGTATAAGAGAGAAAAAATCATCTTTCACTTATTTCTGCAAAATTCTCAATATTACAAATCGGAAAGGAAAGGGAAATTTGCACGTATGACGTATGATTTTATAAAGTTCTAAAGTTATGACGTCACAAAATCAATTTTTACAATTTTTGAATTTCGATTCAAAAACTGAAAGAGCATCGTGAAATACCTCTAAAGTTACAAAATCAGTCAAATGTGTTGGAAAAATATGGTTACATTAGCACAGGCTCTTTCCCCACCAAACCTCTGTAACTTGGTCTGAATTCATAGAACAGGGTAAAATAACAGTACTCCGAAATTGAACTTCAAATATTTTACTGGCCATATCTCCCCCGATTTTAGATATATTCCACTGATTTTGCATATTTGGAAGTATTTCACTGTGCTTCTTATGTAATTTGGTTAAAATTCAAAAATTGTAAAACAAGTTTTTTGTGACATCACACAAGACATCGCGGAGCAGGGAGGGGGCTGGGGAACGCTTTAGCCCCCCCCCACTTTCTGCGAAAAATGCAAAATATTGAGAAATAAACTACCAGTAAAGCCATTTTTCATTCGGTTTTAGCCCTCGCACTTTTTTAGACCCCTCACATTTTCCAATGCTCCGCGATGCCTGCAAAGTGAAAAACTCTAATGCTGTAAATAGACTGCTCTTAGTTTAGCAACGATTTCATTTTTGTTCACTCTCCACAGATATCGTCCACACAAAGCACAAATATACCTCATAAGAAATACTATTTTATATGCCACCAAGATAAAAAACAAACTAAAGTAAATCATTCATACGAATACGCCAAAGCTTAAAATGAAAATGTTTAGTAACCAATGAAATTGTAGCACCACAGGGCTCAACTATAGGACCACTTCTCTTCAGTTTTCCTTTTTCAAGTATATTTTAATCATGTAATTCAATCCATTATAATTTCTGTGAACAAGAGTTGCCTAGCAGCCCTGGTAAACTGTTAATAGTGGCAGTTTTTTTAAAGATCTTATGAATTTGATCTCTAGAAAATTTATCTTCGGGATGCATGCAACAAATGATTGTCAAATGGCATCAGTATCGGGTGACAAATATATAATAAGCATTTACAATATACGGCTTAACAAATAACGTGTGAGACTATATTATAAGGAGGTCTTTGTCGCATGGAGTTACACTTAATCATGAATACGCTTCGTTATTGTTAGCGAAAATATCACGGTTCAACTGCTGTAAGCCAGAGGAAGGTTATCCAAAGAACAGTTGTTTTGAGGAAGGCCAATGTATGGCTTGACAAGAGTATATAAAGTGAGAAGAATTTACCGTACTGTTTGAACTTTCCATTGAAGATGATACAAAAAAATAGAAACATAGCTTAGTATTTCCTGTCAATTAGTGAAGACCAGACGACAAATGATTTAACTTGAAATCCATTTCTAAGAAAATTTAAGGCTACGTTAAACCTTTTTCAACGCAATATTTGGTTTTCTCTTCTTAAAAGCAAAACTATTAACGGAATCAGATTAAACTATACATCATCGATGCACAAGAATGTGGCAAATTCAACCATATAAAAATATTTGGCAAATATTGATATTTTCCAGGCAAATTTATTGCTCAAATGAGTGTACCACCTTCAAAACTATTCTGTACCCTTGCGTTTCAGGTATCAAAATCTGACTCATATCAGTAGAAAGTGTAGATCCTTAGCTACCGAAGCGTGTCTCAGATATTTCAAATTTCTCCTCCAATTGAAACTGTACCCTGTCAAAAATTGGCAAACAATTTCTCTTCCCTCTTATCGCTGTAATTGGCTATAAAAGACGGACCAGACCAAATACAAAAATTTTGAGACAAACGTTTTGTACCCGACATCTGTCCTGGCCGTGTGCAGAGCCTTTCGAATGGTTCCTTGGGTACAAAATAGCTTTTTCGTACCTGTAGGCAGGGCTATGGCTGTGAAAATGTGATTTCTTATCTAACCGAAATAATATCGATGGTTTTATATACTTTCGAGTATGGAGACCCAGAATCCAAGATGGGACCAAAACTTTTCGCCTCAGTATCACGTGTTTGATGACGTCATCGACAACGGCAAAAACAGTCATAAATCCGTTATATATTCCAAATGAATTGTACAATATAGCAATTCTAGGTTTTATGTGAAGGCACATTTCAAGAGCTTTCAATTGATGTATCATATAATTGAGTTTGCTGACTAAATTGACTCAACAGAATTTGCTTTGCTTTCTTTTGTTTGATCTGCTTGTTTTGTTTTTGCTAAATATATTAAGGTAGATAAATAAATAAAGGTAAAAAAATAGATAAAGGAGAAGGGACATTATTATCAGAATTTGAATTGCGAGATTTCCAAGAAAAAAAACGGATTTCCAGGGGCTTTCAAAAACAAAACATTGGGTATTTCAACCAAAGGTGCATCCAATTTCCACGGAGTGATTTTTTCCTCGTGGTAATTTGCGATTCTGGTTGTTACGCGTAGCTGTGATACAGGCCTTATGCAGACTGACAGCATCCTGGTATAGAGAACAATTATAAGAGTGTATGGTCAATTAAAACTTGTTTCCCTTGCTCCTCTGTTGAATATTGATGCCTAGCTCGCTTAGAATCGCTCCTCGGTTGACTTTGCGTTGAGATAGAAGTTTCACAAACTTTCCCTCCAAAACAATGGCATTCCCGAACCTTACTGCGCATGTTCCATCAATACATTTTTCAAAAGTCTCGTTTGCATTTCAACCTTTGGCCGTTCGTATCACTAACAACTGAAGTCTTACAAAACAGATAACTGATTGGAAGGCTTTAAATTATTTGCATGTTTTGTAAAATGTCAAAGTCAGTTAGATTTTACAGGAGGTGGACAATGTTGGTCAGTGTATTTTTGTACCCGTTGTTCCTGTCTTTAAACGCGCCTGTTGTGGCATCAAGCAGCTTCTTTATGCTTGAAAAAGGAGACCAAAATGGTATAAATGTTGGCATCTCAAAGATGCATTTTAGGTGTGATCGCGACCAAAGTTGTGCATACATTAAATTCAACAAGGTGTCACAAGAGTTTCAGCTTTTAACAGAGAATTACGTTGTCAGTGAGGCAGACGAAGTTACAGAAACAGTTTGGAGAAAAGGTAAGGCAATTTTGCAGAGAGTATTTCTTGCGATAAAATCTTGTGTAACTATTTTATATTCCCCATTTTACTCTTAATTTGGGCGAAAAGGTGGGAAGAGCAAAATGGTTAGGACTCGCTTTTCAAAAATAGCCTTTTCCGAAACAGAACATAAGCTTTGATTGAAAACTCAATGTCGTTCTTGAAATAGGAAAAGGCATGTCAAAATTTCTTTACGTCGCCTGATATTGCTGTACGACGCGAAGTGGAGTGGAAATGGTTGCAAGACCCATTGGTGATGTTAGAAAAGCAGTCAGGAAAGAAATTATTAGATTGAGAGAGAAATAAATTGATTTTTTCTATTTACAATTCGATAAAAGTTTTGTTTCACAAAAAGCAGGTACTGTTTGATGAGCGGCAAGTTTTCATGAAGTTATTTTCAATCATTTTCAATGGGAATGAAATACATTCAACGCCATTAGCGTAATCTGTCGATCGATAAGCTGTGAACAAACTTGAAACAACTTAATGAACAAACTTTGAAACCATTCTGTTTATGAATGCTATACAACGCTTGTACATTAGGGGCGGACTGGCTCCAAATTTAGGGCCCGGGCAAATTCGTCGAGAAAGGGCCCTAAAATTCAAATTAAGTTTACGGGTAAGGCTGGGTTAAAAGGCTGTTGGAAAATTGCTATTGGTTCTCATTAGTTACCACCATATCGCTTAAGAAACTCAAGATTCAACACATTAGCCACATCATGAAGCCACATTAAAAAGTATAAATTTAATGCCGTATCATACAGATGTACCTAACCAAATGTGGAAGTCAGTTCCAAGCGAAATAAAATACTCAACAACTTTACAAATAATCAAGAAAAAATCTCGGAATTTTCATCGTTCAATTGTACTTGTGATATCTGCAAGGAATAGTATGCAACATCAATGATACTTGATTTATATTTAGCGTTGGTGATTTAAATTGGATGTTCTACAATCCCTTCTTTGGGTCCGTGTCGTTTTCACTGTATTGCCTGGGGTTTATTCTAACGAAGGATAAGAAGAAAGAGAAAACCATGCCATTGTGGGGGGAAAATTATTGTTTTCTAGCTATATGACTTTTAAGTTGGAGAAGAATGTAGCAAATAAGATTATACAGGCAAAGTGTTTAGATTGCTCCAGGGTTAAGTAAAGGCCACTACAATGATTAGAAATTTTGGCCGAATTCAAGAAAAGTTTGGAAATATGACGTTATAGGGATAGGCAGAAAATGCATCAAAAATATTTACAACATCAAATTTGACCAAAGGAGGATCCTAGGCAATGCCTGTTAGCTTTCTTTTACAATAATTTGCTGGTTCAAAGTGGCTTGATTTTGACATAACAATGGGACAGAAGTTTGCGTTGGCATTATGATAAACTTTCAAATGTCAGAATAGGTAAAACGTTTAGCAGCAAAGAATGCAGTGGCGGAAATTGCGGTGGCTCAGGTTTTGCCAAATTGTCGGTTTTGTCGGTAAAATTGTGTCATTTATCGGCAAATTTGCTTGCTTTTGTGGGTATTGCCTCCCCCCCTACTTGAAAAATGAATTTCCGCCACTGGAGGAATGAGTTGGAAAAGGTGCAAGTGATGCGAAGGTGGAGAGTCAGAATCAAAGCAGCTGACTCTAGGATAATCTGGACTAAAACAAAACAAAGCTGGGAAAAAATAGAAGGAAATGGAAAAAGGCTTGAAGTAAAACAAAAACAAGCAACGTCTTAAAAATGTTCTGCACGAAGATTTCTTTCACGAATGAGCATGTAGAAAAGGCTACAGCTTTAGCTTTCTCTTCCTTGCACCCTTATTTGTGACTGTGAGATGACAGTTTTTGACCGGTGAAATGTGTTCGAGTAAAGCCAAGCACCTCAAACTTTCCCAGTAATTCTATGAAATGACGTCCCTAATTTTTTCACGATTACCGACAAACCAAGATCATAATCTCAACTGTTAGCGACAAGCGCAACATTTCCGACACCCAAATCTTTAAACAAGTTTCTAAACGCAACAAGAAAAAAACCTAACCTGCCTGTAGAAGCCAAAGCTAATCAGTAAGAAATCTTCAAAAGTAGTGATTCATTTCATTCTATGTTTAAATTACAAAATATGTCTATATTTCCAGTGCGAACAGCAAAATCTGAAATGTTTGTACGGTTTAATGTTTGTTAATTCCGGTATAAATGTTCCGATCAATCTTCCAATTCTTTAAATAATTGTAGCATTTTCAATAGTTTTACAGATTTATCCTTCCTGCAAAGAGGCCTTACCAGGGGACCTTAACAACGGGGTATACTGGATTCAGCACAAGAATATGCAAGAACCAATAAAAGTCAAATGCAACAGAGAGACAGGAAAAGTTCTCGCAGTATTTGATCACGACAGCGAATCACGCATAGTGGCTAAAGGGTTTGAAATCCCTGGATCGTATCGGTAAGCACCACAGAGTTGTTTAATAAAGGTGTTCTTGAAATTTTATACAAAATTATATATTAATATAGTTATAGAATACTATAGATGACAACATCATTTAAATCTACCACAAAATATATGATTTTTTTTTGCCTAATAGCCTGAGTATCAGGTAATTATTGATAATTATTACAAGATCTTCTACTTGGTTCATAAATTTCAGAACCCAGACAAAATCACATTGATTTCGGGAAGTAGATTGCATCCATACTTTCGAGAAATTTTGAATCGAATTTAAAGTATTTCAACTTGCATGCTTATTAACGAGGCTCTTCAAGATTTTGTCCAGAGTCAATAATCACACATATAAATTTTTTATTGTAAATTTGTCGAAAGTTCCAGACCATCTTTCAAAACAAATTTGCTTTACTCTATTGGCAACTACCAATAAATAAACTTGCATGTAAACATTTCTAAAATATTTTCTTTGATGATAAGAGAAGTCATGGAAATGGATGTCTATCTCAAAGAAAATATTGCTCATTGTTAAAAAAAGGGCATAAAATAAGTATTTCTAAACTAATCAATAAAAAATGCGGTGAGCGTGTTTGTGGCTTTTAGACACAAATCAAGTTGCAACTGTTGATTTAAATTAAAGCATCCTTTGCAACATGAAGTTAACATGTGCCCCAATAAGATTTTTTATAAAAAAATTGTATTATAAATTTTATTGGCCTCAATGTTCTAAAGAGTTTTCGTTTTGAGACTGAGAGTGAGAAAAATTTGTTTTATTTTTCAAATTTTGAAGGGTTTTAGGGAGGCATAGGTGATACGTGAAAAAAATATGTGAGTCATGCGATTCTCTTTTATGAACTTCGCAATGCATGCATCTGTTTTTCAGTGTTTTTCAGTGTTTTTCAGTGGTTTTCAGTGGTTTTCAGTATTTTTCAGTGTTTTTCAATGTTTTTCAGTGTTATTCAGTGTTATTCAATGTTTTTCAGTGTTTTTCGGTGTTTTTCAGTGTTTTTTAGTGTTTTCCAGTGTTTTTCGGTGTTTTTCGGTGTTTTTCGGTGCTTTTCAGTGTTCTTCGGTGTTATTCAGTGTTATTCAGTGTTTTTCGTTGTTTTTCAGTGTTCTTCAGTGTTTTTCAGTGTTTTTCAGTGGTTTTCAGTGGTTTTCAGTATTTTTCAATGTTTTTCAGTGTTATTCAGTGGTTTTCAGTGTTTTTCAGTGTTTTTCGGTGTTTTTTAGTGTTTCCCAGTGTTTTTCGGTGCTTTTCAGTGTTCTTCAGTGTTTTTCAGTGTTTTTCAGTGGTTTTCAGTGGTTTTCAGTATTTTTCAATGTTTTTCAGTGTTATTCAGTGGTTTTCAGTGTTTTTCAGTGTTTTTCGGTGTTTTTTAGTGTTTCCCAGTGTTTTTCGTTGTTTTTCGGTATTTTTCGGTGCTTTTCAGTGTTCTTCAGTGTTTTTCAGTGTTTTTCAGTGGTTTTCAGTGGTTTTCAGTATTTTTCAATGTTTTTCAGTGTTATTCAGTGGTTTTCAGTGTTTTTCAGTGTTTTTCGGTGTTTTTCAGTGCTTTTCAGTGTTCTTCGGCGTTTTTCAGTGTTATTCAGTGGTTTTCAGTGTTTTTTAGTGTTTTCCAGTGTTTTTCGTTGTTTTTCGGTGTTTTTCGGTGCTTTTCAGTGTTCTTCAGTGTTTTTCAGTGTTTTCCAGTGTTTTTCGGTGTTTTTCAGTGTTCTTCAGTGTTCTTCGTTGTTTTTCGGTGTTTTTCAGTGCTTCTCAGTGTTTTTCAGTGTTTTCAGTGTTTTTCAGTGTTATTCAGTGTTTTCCGGTGTTTTTCGGTGTTTTTCGGTGCTTTTCAGTGTTCTTCAGTGTTCTTCGGTGTTTTTCAGTGCTTTTCAGTGTTTTTCAGTACTTTTCAGTGTTTCCCAGTGTTTTTCGGTGTTTTCCGTGCTTTTCAGTGTTTTTCAGTGTTTCCCAGTGTTTTTCGGTGTTTTTCCGTGCTTTTCAGTGTTCTTCAGTGTTTTTCGGTGTTTTTTGGTGCTTTTCAGTGTTCTTCAGTGTTTTTCGGTGTTTTTCAGTGTTCTTCAGTGTTTTTCAGTGTTATTCAGTGTTTTCCGGTGTTTTCCGGTGTTTTTCGGTGCTTTTCAGTGTTCTTCAGTGTTCTTCAGTGTTCTTCGGTGTTTTTCAGTGTTTTTCAGTACTTTTAGTGTTTTTCAGTGTTATTCAGTATTTTTAGTGTTTTTCAATGTTTTTCAGTGTTATTCAGTGTTTTTCGGTGTTTTTCGGTGTTTTTCAGTGTTTTCCAATGTTTTTCGTTGTTTTTCGGTGTTTTTCGGTGTTTTTCAATGTTTTTCGGTGTTTTTCGGTGCTTTTCAGTGTTTTCGGATCTTGTATTTCGGATTTTGAAACACACAAATTACCCACAAATATAGCTAAAGAAGAGACCTGTTTAATCTTTTTCTGGAACTCTTATCCCACGAGCGAAATGTATAAAACAAATAAACAGATGAAAATAACCCCTACCAACTGTCAGAAATACCTATAAAAATTGTCGTCTCATTTCACTACAAAATAAACTGCACTTAAAAACAAAAATAACTCTCAAGCCCTGAAAATTGAAATTTGACTGCTTAACAAATTAAAGCACTTTCTGGAATTTCAACTCACAGGCACAGAATCACCTACACGAATCGACTTCAAGACTTGACAAGCTTTGTCGACTCGTCACGTCAATGCCGCCAGTTCACTAGAATAGATTGCATCTCAATGGGCTTGTATTTCCCTTCCTTGAGTACCCCATATTATGGATACCTCGTCGATAGAAGCGGTAATGGAATGGAGTACTTTGGTGGTGGGCCAACAAATGGAAGAGGTATGGGTTAGAATTTTTCTGGACTTGGCTTCGATTCGCAGTTGAAATCACGTCCAACATAACACATTCTAATAGATTTTGTTAGCAAAGACAGTATGATGGTGGAGAGAGGTAGAACCAATAATCTTGGAAGTAGGATTCAGCTTAAGAACCCGAAAATAAAACAGGACTTCGTTGTGTCATATACAACCATTGGACCCCAAAGTATATGAATCCATGTTGTATTGGACCCCATAGAATCGTATACGGCGATTGGACCCCAAAGTATAGGACTCCATTCTGAATAGGACTCTATATTGTATAAGACCTCGTTGTATCATATACGACCATTTGGTTAAATAGTATAAGAATCTTTAATATAGCACCCCTTGTATTAAACACGACCATAGGACCCCAAAGCATAGGACTCCATGTAGTTGAGAATCCGTTCGTATCATACATGATCATAGGATCCCATAATATATGAACCAATAGTATCACATCGCAGGTATACCTGCATATTTCTTTCTACCTTTGTAAGCTTATAGTAGTTTCAATAACGTCATCAAATTTTATTTAGATGAAGCAAAATACTGAATATAAATTGATTTTGTCAACATTTCTTGATAAATAATTAATTGGAATAAAACTGGTACAGGCATAAACATAGTTCATTGGAAAAAAAGAAGTTAATGATTAAAAATGCAACTGGCTTTGAATAGGCAATATCCTATCATAGGATGCAGTTGTGGGATAACTGGTACATGTGCAAAAAGTTCAGATCTTTGCAACTGTTATGCAAATGATGCGGTATGGCGATTTGACGAGGGATTTGTCACCGACAACAAGAGGCTGCCAATAACTGAAGTGAGGCTTGGAGATACAGGTGACGCGTCTGAAGAAGGTGCCCATACCATTGGGAAACTTATCTGTGAAGAGTGGCCATAAGCATTCATTAAAGACTACCATCAATTCAAATTCTGCAGGGGATCATCGGAGGAGATTTCCGTTAGTTGCACGTTGAAAAACAAAACAATTGCAACTATGCATAGTGGGAGAATTGAATGCTTAAAGAGACACAATTAAACACTCCAGATGAATTAAAACCAAATGGATGAAAGTCGTATAAGAGAGCAACAATCATATTTCACTTATTACTGCAAAATTCTCAATATTACAACACGGAAAGGAAAGGAAAATTTGCACATTGAATATAATGCATCCACATGAAGCATAGCTTGTAATATAGTCACAAAGGGAAAGTCTTTATGTTTATCCTTTGTTTGCCTTTCCAGTAGGTAAAACACCTTAATATCTTGTTATGTCTATCGACATTTTTTGACGTATGATTTAAAAGAAGTTCTAAAGTTATGACGTCACAAAATCAATTTTTACAATTTTTTAATTTAGATCCAAAAACTGAAAGAGCATCGTGAAATACCTCTAAAGTTACAAAATCAGTCAAATGTGTTTGCAAAAATATGGTTACATTAGCACAGGCTCTTTCCCCACGAAACCTCTGTAACTTGGTCTGAATTCATAGAACAGGGTAAAATAACAGTACTCCGAAATTGAACTTCAAATGTTTTACTGGCCATATCTCCCCCGATTTTAGATATATTCCACTGATTTTGCATATTTGGAAGTATTTCATCGTATTTTTTATGTAATGTGGTTAAAATTCAAAAATTGTAAAACAAGTTTTTTGTGACGTCACACAAGACATCGCGGAGCAGGGAGGGGGCTGGGGAACGCTTTAGCCCCCCCCCCCACTTTCTGCGAAAAATGCAAAATATTGAGAAGTAAACTACCAGTAAAGCCAATTTTTATTCGATTTTTGCCCTCGCACTTTTTTAGACCCCTCACATTTCCCAATGCTCTGCGGTGCCTGCAAAGTGAAAAACTCTAATGCTGTAAATAGACTGCTCTTAATGTAGCAACTATTTCATTTTTGTTCACACTCTCCACAGATATCGTCCACACAAAGCACAAATTTACCTCACAAGAAATAATATTATATATGCCACCAAGATAAAAAACAAACTAAAGTAAATCAAACCTAACTTGCTCACGACCGGGCAAATTTCATAAGCAGAAAACATTTCATTCATACGGGTCAGCCAAAGCTGAAAATGAAAATGTCTAGTAGGCAATGAAATTGTGGCACCACAGGGTTCAATTATAGGACCTCTTCTCTTCAGTTTTCCTTTTTCAAATACATTGTAATAATGTAATTCAATCCATTTTAATTTCTGTGAACAGGAGATGGCTAACAGCCCTGGAAAACTGTTAATAGTGGCTGTTTTTTTAAAAATCTTATGAATTTGATCTCTAGAAAATTTAAACTTCAGGATGCATGCAACAAATGATTGTCAAATGGCATAATTATCGGGTGACAAATTTAAATTAGCATTTACAATACACTGCTTAACAAATAACGTGTGATTTTATATCATAAGGAGGCCTCTTTTGCGTGGAGTTACACTTAATCATGAATACGCTTCGTTATTGTTAGCACTCAGCCAGGGTCACGAAAACATCACGGTTCCACGGCTGTGAATCAGAAGAAGGTTATCCAAACAACAGTTGTTTTGAGGAAGGCCAATGTATGGCTTGACAAGAGTATAAAAAGTGAGAAGAATTTACCGTACTTTTTGAACTTTCCATTGAAGATGGTAGAAAACAATGGAAACATAGCACACTATTTCCTGTCAAGGCGTGAAGACCCGACCATAATTGGTTTAGCTTGAAATCCATTTCTTGGAAAGGTTATGGTAAACGTTTTTGACACGATATTTGGCTTTCTCTTCCAAAAAGCAAGACTATTAACGGAATCAGATTAAACTATACATCATTCGATGCACAAGAATGTGGTGATTTCAACCATATCAAAATAATTGGTAAATATTGTAAAATGATATTTTCCAGTCAAATTTATTGCTTAAATGAGTGTACCACTTTCAAAAGCTATTGAGGTAACAAAATCTGACTTATATCAGCAGAAAGCGCAGACCTTATGTCTCGTATTTTTCAAATTCCTACTCGCTTTGAAACTATACCCTGTCGAAACAGCCATTTCCGTGACGCTTATTGCGTCGTCATGTGCTTACAGATAGTTCCAGAAAAGATGTGACAGAACTCCTCGATGAACTGCTGGTAGGAATTAGGGAAGCTTAGGCTGCAATAAAATTTCGTCTTGTGCTTCCAGATAGTTCCAGGAAAGATGTGACAGAACTCCTCAATGAACTGCTGGTAGGAATTAGGGAAGCTAATGCTGCAATGAAATTTTCATTATAAAAGGAGCCTCCATCAGGGACATAAAAAGGATCCTCTGGAAACGAGTCAACATCAAGTCCAATTAAAGACCAAATAGAGTTTGCTATCTGGAGGAAATGTGAATAACTCATCATAAAAAGCTGTGTCTAAGTCTAGCTCTGATCCGAGACCTCTGACAGCTGTTATTAGACGTTGAAACATCAAGAGCGGGTCGATAGAAATGATTTCACCATCTATTTGGATGCTGGATCTTGCTTTCATGATTACGGCAATGTCTTTCCTTTTAAACGTATACTCTCCAACTTCACTTCGAGACATTGATTCTAAAATACATTTCCCGATTTTCTTTGCATCATCTACATTGACAGCACAAATTGCAACCTCTACCGTGTCAATGCTTGTAAGCTCCTTACAGTTGTCAAACGGATTTCTTGACGTCTCTTGATACGAGTTTGAGATGTTTCTTTGTGCTGTTCACTTGTTTCATACGCAACATTTGTAACTTCTTGCATTGTACGATTTACTTCAGCACAGGCAGGTGTTGAGCAGAGCCAAATTGCTCTTTGAAGTTCGGTCATCCCTCTCCCACGAGTGAGTCCGCCAGTTGTTTTCAAACTTCTCTTTAGAACTTGTTCAATCACAAGGTCAATTGAAAGTCCTGCCCAAAACGGTTACTTCTTCTGACAACATGATACCTCTGCTGAAACTTAACATAGACATTTGGATGGGTTTCCTGAAGATTTGACATTTTTGTAGATAGATGTGAGCAGACTTGGCGTAAAGTGAATGACCAGATGCTGCAAAGAAGGGTAACATTTTTCCCAAACAACAGCAGCCATCTTGAATTCAAGGCAACCATTTTGGATCAAATTACAATAAGAATTTCTCTAAAATTATTTTTAAAACACCTTTCCTCTATCGAAAGTATTTTTGCAGTAAAATTGCAAAATTATAACTGTAAAATTGCAAAATATTAGATTTTTCAATATTTATGAAAATTTAGGGAAACTTTTGGGGTTTACCTCTCAAAATGAGCAGTGGTATTTTGGGAAATTGCCTCAACCCTTTGTGGTAAGTTTTTGCTCCCCTTGTGTATAAACATGCATTAGATATAAACTTGATCTACTAATAGGACATTCAGTGGCGTTATCCCAGTTTTGGAGAAAGCCCCTGTATCTCGAAAAAGCCCCCTCTCCTACTCTATCAACATTTCCTTTTGAATTCCACACCTAAAACTAGTCTTGCAATAGTTGGTTTGGTAAAGTTTCTCTTCTGGTGGTTATTGACAGCTCTTTCACAGGCTGCATCCCAGTTTTTGGATAAAACCCCTGTCTCTCGGAAAAGCCCCCCTCTCCCGCCCGATCGACATCCAGATTTGAATTTTACACAACAAACTGGTCTGCAAAAAGTTGGTCTGGTAAAGACCCTCGTCGGGTGGTAATGCTCCTCCTTGTCCCTCTGGACTACAAGACAAAAACACAAATTACTCTATAGAAGGGTGGGATCTCACCTCGTGGCTCACAGGCTGGAAGGTGGGAAGATTTTCTCCATGTAAACAGGCCCTAACAGGCCAAATAACTTACAAAATATGTCACCAGTTTTATGGCTCTATATTATTTATATATTTAACTTTGTTTTAATACAGAATTAATTTTATTGCAATAGAAATTGTATTTTAAACGATTTCTGTTTGGAATGTATATTTTTGCTGAGACTTATAACGACAGTGAGGTAAACTGAATATTCATAACGTCTCAATTGAAACAAATAATTTTACAACGCAAACAAGATATTTATAGCCGAGAATTTCTAATAATGACGATGATGACGTAGGTGATTTACAATCACCAATAGTTTCGTTTCTGCGTAGATTAAGTTAAATTGACTCAAAAGAAATTGCATTGCTTTCTTTTGTTTGTTCTGCCGGTTTTGTTTCTGCAGTTTATAAAACAGATGGCTAATTTGAAGGCTTTAAATCTTTTGCATGTTTTGTAAAATGTCAAAGTCAGTTAGATTTTACAGGAGGTGGACAATGTTGCCCAGTGTATTTTTGTACCCGTTGTTCCTGTCTTTAAACGCACCTGTTGTGGCATCAAGCAGCTTCTTTATGCTTGAAAAAGGAGACCAAAATGGTATAAATACTGGCATTTCAAAGATGCACTTTAGGTGTGATCGCGACCAAAGTTGTGCATACATTAAATTCAACAAGGTGTCACAAGAGTTTCAGCTTTTAACAGAGAATTACGTTATCAGTGAGGCAGACGAAGATACAGAAACAGTTTGGAGAAAAGGTAAGGCAATTTTGCAGAGAGTATTTCTTGCGATAAAATCTTGTGTAACTATTTTATATTCCCCATTTTACTCTAAATTTGGGCGATAAGGTGGGAAGAGCAAAATGGTTAGGACTCGCTTTTCAAAAATAGCCTTTTCCGAAACAGAACATAAGTTTTGATTGTAAACTCAATGTCGTTCTTGAAATAGGAAAAGGCATGTCAAAATTTCTTTACGTCGCCTGATATTTCTGTACGACGCGAAGTGGAGTGGAAATGGTTTTGCAAGAAACAATACCAAAGCTGAACTATAATATAAAGAAGGTTGCAAGACACATTGGTGATGTTAGAAAAACAGTCAGGAAAGAAATTATTAGATTGAGAGAGAAATAAATTGATTTTTTTCTATTTACAATTTGATAAAAGTTTTGTTTCGCAAAAAGCAGGCAAGGTTTGATGAGCAGCAAGTTTTCATGAAGTTATTTCCAATCATTTTCATTGGAGCATGAAATACATTCTATGCAATTGGCGTAATCTGTCGATCGATAAGCTGTGAACAAACTTGAAACAACTGAATGAACACACTCATTTACCAAACATACCTCGTTTAGATTGTTAAGTTTTAATGTTTGTTCATTCCGATATATATGTTCCGATCAATCTTCCATTTCTTTAAATAATTGTAGCATTTTTAATAGTTTTACAGATTTATCCTTCCTGCAAAGAGGCCTTACCAGGGGACCTTAACAATGGGGTATACTGGATTCAGCACAAGAATATGCAAGAACCAATAAAAGTCAAATGCAACAGAGAGACAGGAAAAGTTCTCGCAGTATTTGATCACGACAGCGAATCACGCATAGTGGTTAGAGGGTTTGAAGACCCTGGATCGTATCGGCAAGTAACACAGAGTTGTTAAATAAAGATGTTCTTGAAAATTTATACAAACTTGGGAAAATTACATATTAATGTAATTATAGAATACTATAGATGACAACATCAGTAGAATTTACTATAAAATGTTTGTATGCATAATAGCTACCCTGGTTACCAGACTCAGTATATATAAAATAAAATAAAATACCAGACTATCTATTATTTTATATAGTGAGTCTGGTACCCAGGGTTCATAATAGCCTGAGTATCAGGTAATTATTGATAATGTAGAAAGGTATAAAACAAATAAACAGGTGAAAAGAACCCCCTACCAACTGTCAGAAATACCTACAAAAATTGTCGTCTCATTTCACTACAAAATAAACTGCACTTAAAAACAAAAATAACTCTCAAGCCCTGAAAATTGAAATTTGACTGCTTAACAAATTAAAGCACTTTCTGGAATTTCAACTCACAGGCACAGAATCACCTACACGAATCGACTTCAAGACTTGACAAGCTTTGTCGACTCGTCACGTCAATGTCGCCAGTTCACTAGAATAGATTGCTTCAGAATGAGTTTGTATTTCGCTTCCTCGAGTACCCCATATCGTGGATACCTCGTCGATAGAAGCGGGAATGGAATGAAGTACTTTGGTGGTGGGCCAACAAATGAAAGAGGTATGGGTTAGAATTTTTTTGATATGGCTTCGATTAACTGTTGAAAGTACGTCTAACATAAAACATTTTCATAGATTTTGTTAGAAAAGGCAGTTTGATAATGGAGAGGGGTAGAACCAATAATCTTGGAAGTAGGATTCAGTTTAAGAACCCGAAAATAAAACAGGACTTCGTTGTGTCATATACAACCATTGGACCCCAAAGTATAGGAATCAATGTTGTATTGGACCCCATAGAATCGTATACGGCCATTGGACCCCAAAGTATAGGACTCCATTCTGAATAGGACTCTATATTGTTTAAGACCTCGTTGTATCATATACGACCATTTGGTTAAATAGTATAAGAATCTTTAATAAAGCACCCGTTGTATTAAACACGACCATAGGACCCCAAAGCATAGGACTCCATGTAGTTGAGAATCCGTTCGTATCATACATCATCATAGGATCCCATAATATATGAACCAATAGTATCACATCGCAGGTATACCTTCATATTTCTTTCTACCTTTGTAAGCTTATAGTAGTTTCAAAAACGTCATCAAATTTGCATTACATGAAGCAAAATACTGAATAGAAATTGATTTTGTCAACATTTCTTGATAAATAATTAATTGGAATAAAACTGGTACAGGCATAAACATAGTTCATTGGAAAGAAAAAAGTTAATGATTAAAAAAGCAACTGGCTTTGAATAGGCAATATCCTATCATAGGATGCAGTTGTGGGATAAATGGTACATGTGCAAAAAGTTCAGATCTTTGCAACTGTTATGCAAATGATGCGGTATGGCGATTTGACGAAGGATTTGTCACCGACAACAAGAGGCTGCCAATAACTGAAGTGAGGCTTGGAGATACAGGACATGCGTCTGAAGAAGGTGCCCATACCATTGGGAAACTTATCTGTGAAGAGTGGCCATAAGCATTCATTAAAGGCTACCATCAATTCAAATTCTGCAGGGGATCAACCAAAAATTGGAACAAGGAGGTGATTTCCGTTAGTTGCACGTTGAAAAACAAAACAATTGCAACTATGCAGTGGGAGAATTGAATGCTTAAAGAGACACAATTAAACACTCCACATGAATTAAAACAGAAGAGATGAAAGTCGTATAAGAGAGCAACAATCATATTTCACTTATTACTGCAAAATTCTCAATATTACAAATCGGAAAGGAAAGGAAAATTTGCACATTGAATATAATGCATCCACATGAAGCATAGCTTGTAATATAGTCACAAAGGGAAGGTCTTTATGTTTATCCTTTGTTTGCCTTTCCAGTAGGTAAAACACCTTAATATCTTGCTATGTCTAACGACATTTTTCGACGTATGATTTAAAAGCAGTTCTAAAGTTATGACGTCATAAAAACTATTTTTACAATTTTTGAATTCAGATCCAAAAACTGAAAAGGCAACGAGATCTCTAAAGTTACAAAGTCAGTCAAATGTGTTACGAATTGGCAAAAATATGGTTACATTAGCACAGGCTCTTTCCCACCAAACCTCTGTAACTTGGTCTGAATTCATAGAACAGGGTAAAATAACAGTACTCTGAAAGTGAACTTCAAATATTTTACTGGCCATATCTCCCCCGATTTTAGATATATTCGAATGATTTTGCATATTTGGAAGTATTTCATCGTGTTTCTTATGTAATTTGGTTAAAATTCAAAAATTGTAAAACAACTTTTTTTTTCCATCACACAAGACATCGCTGAGCAGGGAGGAGGGCTGGGCAACGCTTAAGCCCCCCCCCCCACTTTCTGCAAAAATGCAAAATATTGAGAAGTAAACTACCAGTAAAGCCATTTTTTATTCGGTTTTTGCCCTCGCACTTTTTTAGATCCCCCACATTTCCCAACGCTCCGCGGTGCCTGCAAACTGAAAAACTCTAATGCTGTAAATAGACTGCTCTTAGTGTAGCAACGATTTCATTTTTGTTCACACTCTCCACAGATATCGTCCACACAAAGCACAAATATACCTCATAAGAAATACTATTTTATATGCCACCAAGATAAAAAACAAACTAAAGTAAATCATTCATACGGATACGCCAAAGCTTAAAATGAAAATGTTTAGTAACCAATGAAATTGTAGCACCACAGGGCTCAACTATAGGACCACTTCTCTTCAGTTTTCCTTTTTCAAGTATATTTTAATCATGTAATTCAATCCATTATAATTTCTGTGAACAAGAGTTGCCTAGCAGCCCTGGTAAACTGTTAATAGTGGCAGTTTCTTTAAAGATCTTATGAATTTGATCTCTAGAAAATTTAAACTTCGGGATGCATGCAACAAATGATTGTCAAATAGCATCAGTATCGGGTGACAAATTTATAATTAGCATTTACAATATACGGCTTAACAATTAACGTGTGAGACTATATTATAAGGAGGTCTTTGTCGCATGGAGTTACACTTAATCATGAATACGCTTCGTTATTGTTAGCACTCAGCCAGGGTCGCGAAAATATCACGGTTCAACGGCTGTGAGCCAGAGGAAGGTTATCCAAAGAACAGTTGTTTTGAGGAAGGCCAATGCATGGCTTGACAAGAGTATATAAAGTGAGAAGAATTTACCGTACTGTTTGAACTTTCCATTGAAGATGATACAAAAAAATGGAAACATAGCTTACTATTTCCTGTCAATTAGTTAAGACCAGACGACAAATGATTTAACTTGAAATCCATTTCTAAGAAAATTTAAGGCTACGGTAAACCTTTTTCAACGCAATATTTGGTTTTCTCTTCTTAAAAGCAAAACTATTAACGGAATCAGATTAAACTATACATCATCGATGCACAAGAATGTGGCAAATTCAACCATATCAAAATATTTGGCAAATATTGATATTTTCCAGGCAAATTTATTGCTCAAATGAGTGTACCACCTTCAAAACTATTCTGTACCCTTGCGTTTCAGGTATCAAAATCTGACTCATATCAGTAGAAAGTGTAGATCCTTAGCTACCGAAGCGTGTCTCAGATATTTCAAATTTCTCCTCCAATTGAAACTGTACCCTGTCAAAAATTGGCAAACAATTTCTCTTCCCTCTTATCGCTGTAATTGGCTATAAAAGACGGACCAGACCAAATACAAAAATTTTGAGACAAACGTTTTGTACCCGACATCTGTCCTGGCCGTGTGCAGAGCCTTTCGAATGTTTCCTTGGGTATAAAATATCTTTTTCGTACCTGTCGACAGGGCTATGGCTGTGAAAATGTGATTTCTTATGTAACCGAAATAATATCGATGGTTTTATATACTTTCGAGTATGGAGACCCAGAATCTTAGATGGGACCAAAACTTTTCGCCTCAGTAACACGTGATTGATGACGTCATCGACAACGGCAAAAACAGTCATAAATCCGTTATATATTCCAAATGAATTGTACAATATAGCAATTCTAGGTTTTATGTGAATGCACATTTCAAGAGCTTTCAATTGATGTATCATATAATTGAGTTTGTTTACAGACAACAGGATTTCGAAGATAATTAATAATTGAGTTTGCTGACTAAATTGACTCAACAGAATTTGCTTTGCTTTCTTTTGTTTGATCTGCTTGTTTTGTTTTAGCTAAATATATTAAGGTAGATAAATAAATAAAGGTAAAAAAATAGATAAAGGAGAAGGGACATTATTATCAGAATTTGAATTGCGAGATTTCCAAGAAAAAAAAACGGATTTCCAGGGGCTTTCAAAAACAAAACATTGGGTATTTCAACCAAAGGTGCATCCAATTTCCACGGAGTGATTTTTTCCTCGTGGTAATTTGCGATTCTGGTTGTTACGCGTAGCTGTGATACAGGCCTTATGCAGACTGACAGCATCCTGGAATAGAGAACAATTATAAGAGTGTATGGTCAATTGAAACTTTTTTCCCTTGCTCGTCTGTTGAATATTGATGCCTAGCTCGCTTAGAATCGCTCCTCGGTTCACTTTGCGTTGAGATAGAAGTTTCACAAACTTTCCCTCCAAAACACTGGCATTCCCGAACCTTACTGCGCATGTTCCATCAATACATTTTTCAAAAGTCTCGTTTGCATTTCAACCTTTGGCCGTTCGTATTACTAACAACTGAAGTCTTACAAAACAGATGGCTAATTGGAAGGCTTTAAATCTTTTGCATGTTTTGTAAAATGTCAAAGTCAGTTAGAGTTTACAGGAGGTGGACAATGTTGGTCAGTGTATTTTTGTACCCGTTGTTCCTGTCTTTAAACGCGCCTGTTGTGGCATCAAGCAGCTTGTTTATGCTTGAAAAAGGAGACCAAAATGGTATAAATACTGGCATTTCAAAGATGCATTTTAGGTGTGATCGCGACCAAAGCTGTGCATATATTAAATTCAACAAGGTGTCACAAGAGTTTCAGCTTTTAACAGAGAATTACGTTATCAGTGAGGCAGACGAAGATACAGAAACAGTTTGGAGAAAAGGTAAGGCAATTTTGCAGAGAGTATTTCTTGCGATAAAATCTTGAGTAACTATTTTATATTTACTCTTAATTTGGGCGATAAGGTGGGAAGAGCAAAATGGCTAGGTCTCCCTTTTCAAAAAATGCCTTTTCCGAAGCAGAACATAAGTTTTGATTGAAAACTCAATGTCGTTCTTGAAATAGGAAAAGGCATGTCAAAATTTCTTTACGTCGCCTGATATTGCTGTACGACGCGAAGTGGAGTGGAAATGGTTTTGCAAGAAACCATACCAAAGCAGAACTATAATATAAAGAAGGTTGCAAGACCCATCGGTGATGTTAGAAAAACAGTCAAGAAAAGAAATTATTAGATTGAGAGAGAAATAAATTGATTTTTTTCTATTTACAATTCGATAAAAGTTTTGTTTCACAAAAAGCAGGTACTGTTTGATGAGCGGCAAGTTATTTTCAACCATTTTCACTGGGAATGAAATACATTCAACGCCATTGGCGTAATCTGTCGATCGATAAGCTGTGAACAAACTTGAAACAACTTAATGAACAAACTTTGAAACCATTCTGTTTATGAATGCTATACAACGCTTGTACATTAGGCCCTCAGGGGCGGACTGGCTCCAAATTTAGGGCCCGGGCAAATTCGTCGAGAAAGGGCCCTAAAATTCAAATTAAGTTTACGGGTAAGGCTGGGTTAAAAGGCTGTTGGAATATTGCTATTAGTTTTCATTAGTTACCACCATATCGCTTAAGAAACTCCAGATTCAACACAGCGGAGCCACATCATGCAGCCACATTAAAAAATATGGATTTAATACCGTATCATACAGATGTACCTAACCAAATGTGGAAGTCAGTTCCAAGCGAAATAAAATACTCAACAACTTTACAAATAATCAAGAAAAAATCTCGGAATTTTCATCGTTCAATTGTACTTCTGATCTCTGCAAGGAATAGTATGCAACATCAATGATACTTGATTTATATTTAGCGTTGGTGATTTAAATTGGATGTTCTACAATCCCTTATTTGGGTCCGTGTCGTTTTCACTGTATTGCCTGGGGTTTATTCTAACGAAGGATAAGAAGAAAGAGAAAACCATGCCATTGTGGGGGGAAAATTATTGTTTTCTAGCTATATGACTTTTAAGTTGGAGAAGAATGTAGCAAATAAGATTATACAGGCAAAGTGTTTAGATTGCTCCAGGGTTAAGTAAAGGCCACTACAATGATTATAAATTTTGGCCGAATTCAAGAAAAGTTTGGAAATATGACGTTATAGGGATAGGCAGAAAATGCATCAAAAATATTTACAACATCAAGTTTGACCAAAGGAGGATCCTAGGCAATGCCTGTTAGCTTTCTTTTACAATAATTTGCTGGTTCAAAGTGGCTTGATTTTGACATAACAATGGGACAGAAGTTTGCGTTGGCATTATGATAAACTTTCAAATGTCAGAATAGGAAAAACGTTTAACAGCAAAGAATACCGTGGCAGATAAATGACACAATTTTACCGACAAATTTGCTTGCTTTTGTGGGTATCGCCTCCCCCCCTACTTGAAAAATGAATTTCCGCCACTGGAGGAATGAGTTGAAAAAGGTGCAAGCGATGCGAAGGTGGAGAGTCAGAATCAAAGCAACTGACTCTAGGATAATCTGGACTGAAACAAAACAAAGCTGGGAAAAAATAGAAGGAAATGGAAAAAGGCTTGAAGTAAAACAAAAACAAGCAACGTCTTAAAAATGTTCTGCACGAAGATTTCTTTCACGAATGAGCATGTAGAAAAGGCTACAGCTTTAGCTTTCTCTTCCTTGCACCCTTATTTGTGACTGTGAGATGACAGTTTTTGACCGGTGAAATGTGTTCGAGTAAAGCCAAGCACCTCAAACTTTCCCAGTAATTCTATGAAATGACGTCCCTAATTTTTTCACGATTACCGACAAACCAAGATCATAATCTCAACTGTTAGCGACAAGCGCAACATTTCCGACACCCAAATCTTTAAACAAGTTTCTAAACGCAACAAGAAAAAAACCTAACTTGCCTGTAGAAGCCAAAGCTAATCAGTAAGAAATCTTCAAAAGTAGTGATTCATTTCATTCTATGTTTAAATTACAAAATATGTCTATATTTCCAGTGCGAACAGCAAAATCTGAAATGTTTGTACGGTTTAATGTTTGTTAATTCCGGTATAAATGTTCCGATCAATCTTCCAATTCTTTAAATAATTATAGCATTTTCAATAGTTTTACAGATTTATCCTTCCTGCAAAGAGGCCTTACCAGGGGACCTTAACAACGGGGTATACTGGATTCAGCACAAGAATATGCAAGAACCAATAAAAGTCAAATGCAACAGAGAGACAGGAAAAGTTCTCGCAGTATTTGATCACGACAGCAAATCACGCATAGTGGTTAGAGGGTTTGAAGACCCTGGATCGTATCGGCAAGTAACACAGAGTTGTTAAATAAAGATATTCTTTTCAAATTATACAAATTTGGGAAAATTACATATTAATGTAATTGTAGAATACTATGGATGACAACATCAGTAGAATATACTACAAAATTTTTGTCTGCATAATAGCTACCCTGGGTACCAGACTCACTATATATAAAATAAAATAAAATACCAGACTATCTATTATTTTATATAGTGACTCTGGTACCCAGGGTACAGAGTATCAGGTAATTATTGATAATGTAGGAAGGTATAAAACAAATAAACAGGTGAAAAGAACCCCCTACCAACTGTCAGAAATACCTACAAAAATTGTCTTCTCCTTTCACTACAAAATAAGCTGCGCTTAAAAACAAGAATACCCTCAAATTACTCTGCCCTGAAATTTGAAATTTGACTGCTTATGAAACTAATGCAAATTCTGGAATTTCAACTCACAGGCACAGAATCACCTACACGAATCGACTTCAAGACTTGACAAGCTTTGTCGACTCGTCACGTCAATGCCGCCAGTTCACTAGAATAGATTGCATCTCAATGGGTTTGTATTTCCCTTCCTTGAGTACCCCATATTATGGATACCTCGTCGATAGAAGCGGTAATGGAATGGAGTACTTTGGTGGTGGGCCAACAAATGGAAGAGGTATGGGTTAGAATTTTTCTTGACTTGGCTTCGATTCGCAGTTGAAATCACGTCCAACATAACACATTCTAATAGATTTTGTTAGAAAAGGCAGTTTGAAGATGGAGAGGGGTAGAACCAATAATCTTGGAAGTAGGATTCAGTTTAAGAACCCGAAAATAAAACAGGACTTCGTTGTGTCATTTACAACCATTGGACCCCAAAGTATAGGAATCGATGTTGTATTGGACCCCATAGAATCGTATACGGCCATTGGACCCCAAAGTATAGGACTCCATTCTGAATAGGACTCTATATTGTTTAAGACCTCGTTTTATCATATACGACCATTGGGTCAAATAGTATAGGACTCTTAAATATAGCACCCGTTGTATTAAACACGACCATAGGACCCCAAAGCATAGGACTCCATGTAGTTGAGAATCCGTTCGTATCATACATGATCATAGGATCCCATAATATATCGTAGGTATACCTGCATATTTCTTTTTACCTTTGTAAGCTGATAGTAGTTTCAATAACGTCATCAAATTTGCATTAGATGAAGCAAAATACTGACTAGAAATTGATTTTGTCAACATTTCTTGATAAATAATTTATTGGAATAAAACTGGTACAGGCATAAACATAGTTCATTGGAAAAAAAGAAGTTAATGATTAAAAATGCAACTGGCTTTGAATAGGCAATATCCTATCATAGGATGCAGTTGTGGGATAACTGGTACATGTGCAAAAAGTTCAGATCTTTGCAACTGTTATGCAAATGATGCGGTATGGCGATTTGACGAGGGATTTGCAATGAGGTATAAGAATAGCTAGAGAGTCAACACGAGGCTCCTCTCACAGACTCGAGTGAAGCCTTTGCGGCGATCTGTAATATTCCATTTGCACGGCAAGAAACAGCAGCGAAATAGTAAACAAGTGACGAGGTCGAGATATTTGGAATAATTCTGGTGCAATAAAGAAAACGCATCAAACTAACAAGACTAAGAAAACAACAAGGATGCTTTACACTATGGAATAAGATCGTTATGGCTCATTTAAAAACATGTTTTCGCGATTACGGTTCCTTTTTGGTGAGCGGTTTCGAAAGGGCCATGGCCTAAATTATACACGCGTGCAAAAGTCAAATGTTTTTAAATAGTATGAGCTTGTTCATCTGATGTCTAATGCTAGGAGTGTTCGAATTGACTATTTGTCGGGTGTATCGCTTGCCGTAAGTTTGTAGACGCATGGTTAAGTATCTAATTGACACTTTTTTGACGAGTTGAGTGAGGTGATCATCCTGAAACCCAGGTTCCACTTCAAACCCATGATCGCCTATACATGGAAAGTGTTGCTGCCAGTCACACACAGAGACAACTTGAATCAACATTTTCCGAAGAAGATTACTTTCCGAAGTGATTTGATTTCGGCTCGAATTAATGACATTCATTTTGAAAGA